ACACAAAAATCCCTTCGACGTAGCCTTGTTTTGATGTGGGATAAGATGGCGACGTGACGATAAACTGACCTCGTGTCTTTACCGATGACGTCATACCTACTTTGATTAACAGGTCGAAACTATCATAACGCAAAATCACAGTTTCCGTAAATTAACAGCAATCCTGTTATAATTTTCCGTAAGGAAACATAAAGTTCCTGTCAAAAAAACAGTATGACCACGCATGCGCAGACTTCGCTTATCTACAGACAAGTTTGGAAAAAAATGATAATAACACAGAATTTAAGTAAATTTACTGACAAATAACGTAATTTTTCTTAAATGACATACGACAAAGATTAATTTACGTAAAATAACATATTTCCTTATTGCAGAACTAACATTCTGTTAATGTAAGAACAAAGTCCGTAAATCAACAGGAAAGTATGTATATCAGCAGAAATTTACGTATATCAACAGAAAATATCAAGTAAATTTCTGTCAAAAAAACGGACTTTTTTTACAGTGTATAGACATATAAGTTAGCTATCCCATGGGCAACTACATAGCAAACCCAGTCTGTCGCATTTACCCCAACAGGGACGGAAAAAAGGGGTAACCAATTCTTCAAGGGGGCGCCAAAAGCCCTTTTTGACACTTATAAGCTAAAGTGTGCGATTGGCACAGTAGCACTCCTCTCTTATTATGATTTTAGATATTCAAAATGTTATAAAAAACATATTGAATCATAATTTTCTTCCCCGTCTTTTTTATGTTTACCTATACCCAGATAAATTGTGATAAATTAATTCCCGTACTTCCATTCTTGAAAATGTAATTTTTGATCACAAAACGCCAACAATGGAGACAGCGTAAATTTAATTGGTTAAAGCAGGTTAAGTCAAAAGGTTTTGACATTTGACGAATGTTCAAGACTCGAGTTAGGGCTACAACAATTACAATCAATCCAAAAAATTAGTGTATCCATCGGCCACAAAAATTGGCCGGCCACTGAAGTAATGACGAAGTGTCAATTGCAAGACTCCGGTCGTTAGACCCAACTGTGAAGTGGCTATACTAAAAATAAAACCTAATTTATTAAAATGAAACGAAAGTTGGGTAGAACTTGAATAATACTAGATTATAATTCATTAAATTTTGGGGAAAAAATATTGGAAAAATATTAAGATCTAAATTTCTTTCAAAATTTCAAACTTTGACCTCCCTCCTTAAATACGCCACTGTAAGTGAGCATATATTTCACGCAGACACAGAAAATCTAAAGACTGTCAACAAAATCTTATAATTTACTTTTTATTATAGCATAATTCCAAAGATAGTTCCAAAAACTACTAGTGAGACACACATTAAAATGTCTTTAGTAGAGAACACTTCACTCATTTTTTTACCATTCCTGCTGACATGCTTCCGGAAAACAAATAACGAAATTACTAAATGTAATATGTCTGGAATCATCAAACCTAAGTTCCTGGCATTCTGGAAAAGTTTACCATGTCCGTAAATAACTTGATCAATAAACTGATCTGTTGCGTTCACCATGATATGTATAGAGCTGATGGTGACAAGTGTTAAGATTTTTCTTGAAGTAAGATGGTTTTCAGCATTAAACAAGTTCAGTACCACAGCACTGACGATGAGTTCAGTTAAGATAAAGAAGGTATGGTTGAAGAAGAGAGAATAAAAACGTTCGTTAAAGTAATTAAACAATGAAAACCACGAGTAGTATTGTGGGTAAAAATTAGCCAGAAATAGCAAAAACATGGGAATACGCGTTTTTCCACTAATGAACACTCTACATAAATATTGAACACTTTCATAAAACGCTAACATAAATAACACAGTAACTGTCCATATCATGAAGGTTTCTCGTGTCGCATTAACATATACGCTTTTATATTTCACGTTTTCACCTGGATTTTCATACGAACCTACAAAATACAAAACATAGGTTTTATTCAAGTACTTTTGTATTTATGGCATAACAAGTCGTAAATTATAATATATTAAAAAAAAAACACATTTCTCTTTTCAAAATATTTCAAAATTACGTAAAAGTTATGATATGAAAACAAAGCTGAAAAAAAATAGTACGGTGGTTCGTTTAGGACATGTTTAATTTTTTAAATTATGATTTAATTCTTCTTATTGTTCATTTTCGTTTGCTGAATTATCTTTTTCGTTTGCTGAATTATCTTTTTCGTTTGCTGAATTATCTTTTTTGTTCACTATTTTTTTTTTTTTTTTTTTGCTGAATAATGATTTAATTCAATTTTTTTTTCTGAATTAACCTTTTTTTTTACTATTTTCTAATTTAAGTAGAAATTATAATTCAGCAAAAAATATCTACAAACATTACGTAACGTTTTAAAGTTTGTTATACACTCAGATGTAAACGGATTTATAAGATACAAACCTCTTAAAACTGTATCGAAACAAGAGCAACGACATTTTGTCTCATTTACTGGTGTTTTGTCTCTAGCCCATATCTTCAAATGAATCACACCTTTAATATAAATAAAATACAACTACAAGTGTCTGATATCACTGATGTTGACAATCAATTTATATGATTTAATTATCAATTAACATAATTTCACCATCAACATTGAACAGTGTCATCGATATCCAAATCTAATTTGATTGGCTTGATGGGATTGAGCAGTGGTAATCTAGATTTTCTTATACCTAAAATTTTGAAAAGTCGGGTGGGAGAGGATCCTAGCATTCCTAGGAATGTAAGGAAACTTAATGGGATTGTAAAGAGGTTTTAGACTCAGAGGACACCCCACTTACAACAACGCTTTGTTTTCTGTCAGAAAGGTAGTTTTTGAACCATTGCAGTTCTCAGTCCAATATGTTAGAAACATTGAATTTACTTTGTAATAGACTTTATCAGCATATTGAACTTGTTCTAAGCGAATTCACACATGATAACCATTAATTTGTATTATTTTAATTGTAATCATACTTTCACTTGTATCGATTTTCTCAAATGAAGATAGCTTACGAAGCAAGGTAACATACGCCCACTGGCAGCTGTCAGAAATGATAAAACAGTCTTTAGTGACTAAAGTACGAATTTTCTCATTTTGAAATTTTATTAGTTTGAATTCAATTACATATATATATGCCAGCTATTTATGCTGAGTAATTCCACAAATTTTTTTAAAATCAATATCAATAACCCAAATAAAACAAACAATTAAATCACACAGCTCTAACAACTTTTGACGCGTGTTTACAAAGTCAAGGGCAATAACTCAAAAAAAGTTCAAAAATATCTCAAGTTAGAACAAGTTTCGTTCTATAACTAGCATCACATCCAGCCAGGTGTTCGCGGGGTAACATATGGCAGACGACGTTTCAGTACAGTAGTAGAGTACCATTGTTGAAAATATTATCCCCTTTTGAAATTGTCTGAACATCCAATATCATTATAGTAGAATTTCTCAAATTATCCAGTTTGTCATAGAATGATCAAAATCATACATGTCTTTATTTTTAATTACTCTTACAAAGCACAGGGTTTGCAGAGCGTTATGAGTTAAATGATGGATTACAGCAGTTATATTACAGTCAAGTATCTGGGTGAATCATACCTCTGTTAAGCACCTCCCTCCAGGAAGCTACCTATTTTTAGCATTCCCTGACCTAAAAACTGTTTAAATGATATGAATGTTTCCATCATCTATTAATTAACCGATTATTTATCGGTTAGTCGATCGGTCAAACCTATGTCAACCGATAATCGATTATGATTTTCAACCGATTTCCCATCACTACTATCTATACCAGGCCTAAACTAACGTAATAGGTAGTCAGTGTAGTAGGGCACTGGATCTTTTAGTTCGAGGAATCCAGGGTCCTATTCGCCCTCGTTTACGAATTTACTAAGGCAATAATTAAAATGCACTCACCTATGAACCAACCTATTTGGTGGGATAGTAATTTATGCATAACTTAGTCTTGTTTTTAAGGAGAAGGCCAGATCAAAAATCTGGAAGCTATCTGGATAGAGTTGAATATTAGTGGCAAAAGATTAAAAAGACTAATAAAGAGCACTGGAATCTTTTCATAAACAGTCTGTATCAATTAAGTTATTTTAAAAAATTCAAATCCTCATTCTTAGTGATTTTAACAACGACATACTTTCTTCTTCAGGCGACAAATTAAAAGATATCTGTATGCGACTTTCATCAATGAATGTCTGACCTTACGCGGATCACGACTGAAGCCGAAAATAGACGAGGTAAGGTGTCCGATGCGGTGTACGGTGCGGAATAATCGATAAAAACGAAAATGAACACACGAGGCACGGGTCCGGTCACGATTCGTTTCTTCTTTTTCTACTGTACACTAAATTTACTTTGTATTTTCTGTTGATATACGTAAATTTCTGCTGATATACATACTTTTCTGTTGATTTACGAACTTTGTTCTTACATTAACAGAATGTTAGTTCCGCAGTATAGAATTAGCTTTATAACGGTCGTTTATATTATACATACGTTTTTTTTTTGTATTTGTCTTAGAATATCGCTATGTAGAGCAACTTATCGAGTCGAAAGTGCGTTGCGTGTTCTCCTACCCTTTTCATTATTAATTGTAATTATATAGTTTTGCGTTTACGTGAATGCTTTTGTTAGGTAACGGTCAGATTTGCTTAGCGTATTTTGTTTGTTGCATTCATTATTGTATTTTAATATCGCCCGTAGCACGTGAATAGCACTACTAACTCCCCATTTGATAGGTTCACTGTATAAAGGAAGACAACAACATTTACTGGTGCCCGTTCAAGCATGAGTTATGTCCCATACAATATTTGTCAGTAGCCTTAAGAAAACTAAGGGAAGTAACTACATTTATTATCTCTCGTAAAGGTTGAAGAGTTGTACTTTTGATTTTATTCTTTATACATTTCAGATACATAGTTCGAATTAGTACATACATAAACTAATAAACTGTATTATTGGAAATTTGTCTGGACACCACCCCTTCCCTACCAGGGATTTTTGTGAATTTCTTAAATTAAATTAAAATGGTGAAGTGAGATGCATGGAGAACTTGAAATGCTGACACGATATTCCACCACTCATTCCTGTTCTATTATCACCCTTTGTCAAAAACTACAAAATGCATCATGTTTTACTGAATTTTAAGCGTTTGGGAACAATGACAAAATGGCGTAAATTTATCCCACACGATGAACTAGACTATCTTATTTGGTCTTGGGTAGAGTGGAAATGATCATTGAATACAAATAGGTTGGTTCATAGGTGAGTGCATTTTAATTATTGCCTTAGTAAATTCGTAAACGAGGGCGAATAGGACCCTGGATTCCTCGAACTAAAAGATCCAGTGCCCTACTACACTGATTACCTATTACGTTAGTTTAGGCCTGGTATAGATAGTAGTGATGGGAAATCGGTTGAAAATCATAATCGATTATCGGTTGACATAGGTTTGACCGATCGACTAACCGATTAATAATCGGTTAATTAATAGATGATGGAAACATTCATATCATTTAAACAGTTTTTAGGTCAGGGAATGCTAAAAATAGGTAGCTTCCTGGAGGGAGGTGCTTAACAGAGGTATGATTCACCCAGATACTTGACTGTAATATAACTGCTGTAATCCATCATTTAACTCATAACACTCTGGAAACCTTGTGCTTTGTGAGAGTAATTAAAAATAAAGACATGTATGATTTGGATCATTCTATGACAAACTGGATAATTTGAGAAATTCTACTATAATGATATTGGATGTTCAGACAATTTCAAAAGGGGATAATATTTTCAACAATGGTACTCTACTACTGTACTGAAACGTCGTCTGCCATATGTTACCCCGCGAACACCTGGCTGGATGTGATGCTAGTTATAGAATGTTTTTATGAAATAAATCAAAGGAATGGTACGGCGCCCCTTAAGCGCAATTTTCAACACTTTTTACTATTATTTCGTTTAAACGAAATAGTTAGAACTTGTCCGAGATCTAATAAATTCCAATGATCACACCAAGTTTCATCAGGATCGGTTGAAAACTGTAGCTTCAATCCTGCTCACGAACTATTTTTAACAAATTTCGACGCGTTGTAACAAAGTCAAGGGCAATAACTCAAAAACCTTTCATCGAAAATGCGTCAAGTTAGAACTTGTCCGAGATCTCATTAATATAGATGATCACACAAAGTTTCATCAAAATCGGTTGAAAACTGTAGCTTCTATTGTGCTCACAAACAAATTTTGACGCGTTTTTCCTAAGTCAAGGGCAATAACTCAAAAACCGTTCATCGAAAATACGTCAAATTCGAACTTGACCGAGATCTAAATCATCAATCTAAAGCATCACACACCAAAATCAAAATCAAAATAAGATGAAAACTATAGTCTCTAATGAAATGTTGACGGACGGACGGACGGGCGGACAGACCGACGGACAGGGGTAAAAACTGAAATCCGGCATTTTTTATATGTCGAAGTATACGTTAATAGATTTTACAAAACAAGCAAATGCGGAGGTCACGCGTAGTCGCGCACATAATCAATTATTAATCATTTTTGGAGATGCACGAAAAATAGGTAAGCACAAAATTAGGCTACTTGACTGTAGGCTACTAACGGAAATTCTGCAATGTCTAATAAACGATATAACATGATATTGTTTACTTAATAAACGAACGAATTAGTTAACATAAAAACAGAAATGACCTACCTATATGTATGTAAGGAATGAAAATCAGAAAACATACTGCTAAAACAAAAATCCGAATTCTTCCCATTGTGTTGAAATTTGCTAAAGATACAGACGACACTGCCTCGATAAATTCTTAATCGTAACTAGTATAAAATAGTAGCCAGTGAGCTAGTATAAAATGACTGTCATTCACGGATCCTCGCTCTATCAAGACTATCTTTTCCTATATTGATTGGTCTAGTTACAGAGTACGTATAATTAGAGTATCGAATTTTCGTGATCTAATTGTTTGAAATGTTTGCTATGACTACGCATAGACCGCGAATACCGAGCAGTCTAACCTATCTAGACAATGACATTATTGTCAACGAGTTTCAATTGGCTCGCTGCGTATCATGGCGATGTTTAGGCTCTGACTGTATGTACATGGAAAGGACATTCTTCTGCTTCTTTTAGGGGGTGGTTCATTGGCTCAGACTCATGGCAGAGGGTTCTATCTGTATTATAATTACCCAAAACCGGACACAAAACGTCAGTAATAATTTATTTGGCTTTATACAATGGCTTCATGAATATGGAACAAGCACTCTTCAAACATACAATATTAATGACTACAAAAATGAATATGGCGGCGTTGACTGAACAAAAAGAGACAATACAACTCACTGCAAGTGTATGATTTTGATTGGCCGAAGTAAATCATGCTCGATTGTCAGGTCTCAAATAATTAGACAAATTGTAGGACAGTACAGAAGGTACAGAAGGAGAAATCCGTCTTCGTTCGTCCACTATAATGCTACATTTTTTACACTCCCCCTTTGACCAGATAACAGCTGGTCAAACAAATTTCATTATAGTCACATACAAAAATATCTACACTAACAAAGTCATACGAACAAAACATGACAAAATAAGAAAAGAATTAATTCTTAAATAATTTTATCCATTTTCTACGTTTAATATCAGATGATATTGCAGCAGCTCTTCGTGGGCGTCTCTGCAAATTTTCATCTGGCTTTACATCCACTGGCAATTCTTCATCTGGCTTTACTTGGGAATTGATTTCCAAGGGATATAATAACTGTATTGATCTTCGAAGAGTTACAGTGCCGTTCTTCGAAGTAACCCGAACTAGAGCTCCACTAACTATATTGTCTTTACCAGAGATAAGCTCCTCAATCTTTTATTCTCATCATTAACGACTACAACATCACCAACATTAATTTGATTGTCACTTGGCTTTAAACTAGTCCAAGAGTCTTAAAGGTCTTGGCATTATCCGAAATCACCATCACTGGAACTCCATATCTGGCTGAAAATCTCTTAAAGCAACGAATAAAGGTCAATGCAGACATGTCTCTAACTAGGTCAAGATGGATAGCTCTGGTAACACAACACGTAAATAATACAATCCAAACTTTATCAGATTCTCCTGGATAATTCGTCTTGATAAAAAGCGGTCCTGCGAAGTCTACTCCAGTGTAAGAAAATGGCGGCGATTCTTGAACACGATATGGTTTAGCTTCTAGTCTGCGACAAGTTACACACTCATGGACGAATTTGCGCAACAACTGTCTACCTCGAACAATCCAATACTTGGACCTTAGCTGTGTAAGTGTAGCCTTTATTCCACCATGATATACTGTTTGGTGAGCTTCACGTACCAGTAGTGATGTTAAGTAGTGGCTTGTATCTAATATAACTGGTTGTTTGGCTAATTCTTGGATTTCCGCATTTGCCATTCTACCATTACATCTGATTATTCCCTCGTTATCTGTAAAAAACTGAAACTCTCTCTCCCATTTTCTAAAGTTCTTATTAGAATGTAAATTCAATTGATTGTCAATTAACCATACAATTTCGGCCCTTTGAATGTATTTGGACAAAGGAAATGCATGCAGATCATCTTCCTTTGTATTTCTCTTCTTCAAAATGTCAGTAAACTTTAAAACGTATGCAGTAACTCTAAAAAGTCTCTGGGCATCACTGAAATTCTCACAATGCATAATTTGGCTGATAATAATAGGATTATTGCTCGTTGCTAGCAAAGAAACCGTTCCAAAGTTATTCACAAAAGTTTTCTTATCACGAATGTTCATTTCGTCCAAACATTCAGAAACAAAATATTCTTCAACATCACATTGAGTATCAAAAATCAGATTTTGCACTAACCATGAAGGTCCTTTCCATGTCAAATTGGTAACCAAATGAAATGGAGACATACCTCGTGATAAAATATCAGCAGGGTTGGTTTTCCCTTTACACTGTATTGGATGGGACAATAATATAAGTTTGCAAACGCCAGGTATTTTCTGATGCCAATTGGCAGCCAATTGGCTGAAAATTTAGAATCAGAAAGATTTTTTTATAAAAATAAAATTTTTATGGTGGTGCAGTGCCTTTTTTCAAAATGGCGGCCGAAATTGTTGGAAATAATGGAGAATTTTATACTTAATGTCCCCTGCACTATATACGTAGCCTATATGGTGTCTAAGATGGGGTTTTCGTGGTCGCCAAAGTCAAATATGAGTTTAAAATTTTATTTCAATAATCCAAAATGGCGGAAATCCAAAATGGCGGCGGAAATCCAAAATGGCGGCCAAAATTGGCAGTAAAATTAGAAATTCAAGATGGTGGTAAAAATTGGCGGGAAAATTAAATTCAAATAATCAAATATGGCAGAAATGTGAGATGGCGACCAAAATTAACAGTAAAAATGAAAATCTGATACAAGACATACAATACACTTCATATTCATATTCATATCCATAAGGCCAATCAACACAAAACTAATGAGATTTAAGAGCGTCTTTAACGATTTCATCAATATTCTCCACAACATTATTTCCGGGCTTGATAACGGTAATGATGGTTTGCTTGAGTTCTGCTTTGGAGAATGTTTGAAATTTGAAATGACCATTTGGTAATTTTATTCGTCGTTTTTGGTGTATATCTGGGCAGATTGTAAGACGTATATAGCATATTTCCGTGATGAGTTGACTCTCTGTTAATCTGTCAAGCAGGTTAATCGTTGTCGGTGTTACTGATCCTATATGTGTCTTGCATGACTCCAAAACCTTCAGCATTTTTTCGTTTCGTTTTCTTTTCAGCTCTTCTTTCTTCAGTAGTGCTAACCGTTTTGCCATTTTCACGGTCGCCAAGAAGTCTTTCTCCAACTGTTTCACATCTTGGACCGGTTGGGATGTTCGTCCCCACTTCCATCTCAGGCGCTTTTCAGTTTCATCTAATGATGTGAATTCTTCATTGATTAGAAGACCATTGGTTGAAATGATGCTTTTGTCTGAATGGGTCTTCACTGTGGTCATGCCACCAGAAGCTGCAACTTGGTTGTTGAGTTTAGCAAATCTGGATTCACATGTGAGGTTGTGCAGTGGAGCAAGCTGTAGCTTTTCTAAATTCACTGTGATAGTTTTTGCTGATTGGATCTGGAAAAAGTCCATTTCTGAAAGCTGACGTTTTAGTGATTCAATAACTTCTGTCAATATGGCTCCGATCAGGCTTCCTTTACCAGTTACGGTCTGTGAGAATTGATCCTGTAATTTTTGAAGATGTGGTATTTTCTGATCAAAGAAGATTTTGACATCTGTCCAACTCTGTTTTCCTGGACCCCGACCATCGATTCCCAGCAACTCCATTAGAGGATGAATTAGAATTTCACCTAAGAAGGAGTAGATTTCACTGCAACAAATGAACCATGGATTAGAAATAAAGGTATATACTGCCAGTACCAGTTTGTTTGCATTTTCATCCACCACAGCCTCGAAGAAGGCGTTGAGTGCATCTCTGTGTTTTAGGTACTCGTTTCCGATTTCCAAAATTCGGCCAAAGCGATTCGGCTGGAAGCCTATGAAGGAAGCAGCATCAAGTCTATTATTAGCGAGCCATTCCTTGAATTGGTTGTATAAGGACACAGAATGAGAAGCATGGCTAGGTGACATCAGTTTAGCCAGTGCGATCAAGCCGAGCGTATGGAGGAGAGTGTAGTATCTTGGATGCGTTAATCAGTTTGTCAAAGCCAATTTTCTGTTCTGTGTCTCTGAAAGTCTTGTCGATACTGTGATCAATACAAAGAAGTAGATGGGCGCAGCATTTCAGAACCTTTGCTTGCTTAATACCGAGATTAGTCAACATCTTTGAGCAGTCAGCTCCGTCATCCAGAAGTCAATATTGCTTTTTATTTCATCAACACTTGAACCAGCTAATATAGCGAGGCACTGTAGTTTGAAGTTGTAAGCTTCTGCCCCTGCTTTGCCAGCATGTGAAGCGTTTTCAAGGTAACCTGTTGTGAGCAACCTTTTCTCGCCAGAGGCTTGTGTGATTGTGATACTGTCAGTTTTGATGTCGAATAATCTGTGTCCGGCTGCCTTTGTTGTATCGTCTAGCCCAACGGTAATGACATCATCGACTTTGTTCAGTAGGTGTCGGGCAACCATCTCCAAGTTCAGGCACGATGCATCCTGAACATAGTTTGCTAGGTATCTTCTACTAGGCATTACAAAGGTGAGATCACGAGCTGTACGATTCTTCTTGGGATCATCCATTTCATCCCCACTAAAGTCACTTTCACAATCGTTCAAGTCTTCAGGCACTTCAGTGTTGCTAGATGCTCCGGCCAACTCCCAGTTTTGATCAAATATCGTGTTGGCTATCGATACAGTGATTCCCATCAGGTCATTAGTAGTGACCTTATACTTTTTTACCCTAGCTGTTTTTTGGTTTTGTTATTGGGTTCTTCTACAGATTGGGTCACATGAGACTCATCACAGTTGTTGTTTAGATCTGATGCGGACATGTAATGTTCATACTCACTGTCGTCGTCATTATCGTTATCAACATCAACATCATCATCATCATCAGGAATTAGAATTTCACTATTGTCACCTGAATATGTAAAAGAAACCGCTTCGTTCATTTTGGATCGTTTTATATTTATCGCTTCTTCACGGTCTAACACCCTCTTTTTATTCCTCGACCAGTTTCGCGGGATGATACTTGTTTAGGTCGCTACATAGTCGCCGTAGCAATTATCATACCAGAATGCCTGGTCTTCCATCGTCATTCGCAGCCGTATGCCTTAGCCAGCTGCCCATCGTACTCGTTTGATTTGGACCTTATATCATGGGCGTGATTTCTCATGCGGTTGTTGAATTTGCCAGCTTTTTCCAACCATGACAGTGTCTTCTTTCTATCAGATCGATTTTCCACCTTTCTAAAATCTCGGAACATTAAATAATCACGTAGAATAGTTCGGCTGACTGACCTTTCTTCTGCTGGGTAGACATTTTTTCTGATCCAATCTTGCCTTAATTCCTCAGCGACGACACAGCTTGCATCTTTTTTACTAATGTTTTTCCGTCCAGGCACAGTTTTACACAGTGAGAGCATTCTGCCAATGACATGCACACCATTTTGAAGCTTGGATTTTTATCAAAAAATGAGTCTCTTCTCTATAAGTTTCCCCGAAAAAGGTTTTCTTCAAATCACTACTCCTCCTCTCTGTCATACTCACTCGAATAGTACAGTTTCAGTTCAAAATTTACAAAAAGATAGCACAATCAGATGATTTTCAAAATGGCGGCTGCAACGTCCCCATGGATACCAGTTATATCATGACATCACTAATCCTATGACATCATCAATGGGAAATGAATCTTGGCTGCATTTCATTATTAGATGGTTGTGTTAGACACCAAACAAGCCATATCCTTGATTCATTCATTTTTACGTCAATTTTATCCGCCATTTTGAAAAATGGTACTGCACCACCATAAAATAATTTATTTTTCAAAAATTCTTCAAAATTCGTATCTTTCCCTTTATTTCGCATATGAAAACATCTGGTGTTTTATCAATTTAAAAAATAATGGTTTATTGTCCCATGTCTAAAAAATTACAGTACCTAAAACTAGCAGCCGGTATTAAAGTTCTGCTTTCACTAACACGATTTTGCACAAACTGTTTCCATTCACGATGTTCCTGTGTTATCCAATACATTGTAACCTTAGAATCAGTCCAACAATATTTGTCATCAATGTTTATCTCTAGAGATAAGGCTCCTTCAACACTGGCTAATAATCTTGCTAACACAAGGGCTGATAAAAGTTCAAGTCTCGGAATAGTTAATTGCGTAATTGGCGCCACTCTGGTTTTGGAAACAATATACCTAGAATAAATACCTTCAGTTGTCTGTACACGTAGGTATATTACGGCACCATAAGCTTTGATTGAAGCATCACAAAAACCATGTAAACTACAGTTAATTATCGTTCCTGAAATATCAGTAAAAACACATCTTGGAAGGCAAAAAACACATTTTACGGATAAAGTTCTAATTAGTTTCTCCCAATTGTCTAGAATTGAACCACGGATAGGTTCGTCCCAATCAATACCCAATTTGCAAAGTTCTTGGAAAATAAGTTTAAATTGAATAGTGACAGGCGAAATGTATCCCAAAGGATCGAATATTTTGGCAGCTAAACTTACAATGTTCCGTTTGGTTGGCGAACAATCCTTGGCTAATTTATAGTTTTTCCAAATCAAAATTGAACAAATCTTGGTTGTAGTTCCAGTGGATTCCTAATATTTTCTGCTCAAACTCATTGGTCGTAGATTCTGAACAGCAAACGTTGATCTTGGCAAAGGTCGTGTCATCATTGGTTATACCATACAGTTCATTTTCTTGCTCTGACGATTCTAGGGGCCTTTCATTGTCAGCAATAAGTTGACGTAGCTCATCTGAGTTCGTACAAAACTTCCTGAGGTTAAATCCTCCAGACAAGAGTCTTGATTTTGCTTTTTTATAAAATTCGTAGGCTTCTTGAACTGAATCACTACCACTACTGAGGTCATCTACATAAATTGATGTCAAAAATTTATCAACAAAGTCCTTATCAGTTTTTAAATACTGCTCTATGTGGTATTTGATTGTGGCATTAAGCATAAACGGTACTCTTGCAAACCTCAATACCATCTCTTGAAATTCACCTCCGTCGATGTCTTGTACCCATAAAAATCGTAAAACATCACGGTCTGCTTCAGGTATACCAACCATTAAGAAGGCTTGCTCAACATCACCAGTTAGTGCTATCTTGTGGATTCTGAAACGAAGGAGTATGTCCAGGATATTGTGTGTTAATGGCGGTCCGGCCAGCAAACAATCATTCAGCGATGGACCCCCGGATCGGGATGATGGGTCATATACAATTCTGAGTATGGTTGTCTTCTTATCATTACGAACAACTGCATGGTGAGGAATGTAATGTGTTCTCCCAATTTCGGACGTGAGGTTCATCCACCCTCTCCAATATACCCTTATTCAGTTGGTTACGTATGCTGTTGTCATACTCTCTAAATACTTCCGGTTGATGGCGTAAACGTCTCGGCAAGTTTTCTTACCGTTTTTGGCTTAAAAAATAGTTGTTTGGTAATACAGGATGAGGATCCTTCCATGGCAAACTAACTTCGTATTTTCCATCCTTAAAACTAACTTTATCGGTAAATTCTTCGTAAATGGACTTGGGCTGTATACCAATGGACTCGAGGTCCCAAAATTTCTTTAAACTGTTTTCGAGGTTGGTCTTCTCATGGATGTTACTATAATTTTGATCTGTGATACAGGTATCGCATCTTAAAACATGGTTAGTCACGTAATGGCTGTGTTGTGTACTTTGGCTAATTCCGCTGTTAACAGGTCCTAATAATACCCATCCCAGCTTGGTGTCCATGGCAGTAAGATTATTCTCCCCTCTTATCAAACCACCATTTACTAAATTCCAATACTGATCGGAGCCAATCAACAAATCAATTTGAACTTCATCTTCATTCTCCGCATAATCTGCAAATTCATAAAATGGTATGTTAGGAAATGACCTCTTGGCATCGGTCATTGGCTGGTTTCTCAGCGGGTCGCAGATGAACGGTACTACGAAAAATGTAAGTTCAACAACACCAATATTGGTCTGTAAACATAGAGATACATCTACAACTTGTTGGCGTTCTTCATTCGAACCAAATGTTTTGATGATGATCACCTTTTCATCTATCTTCGGAAGATCCAAATACTTGCTAACGGCCTCCGTAACATAAGATCTCTGACTACCATTATCGAAAATGAGTCTTGCATTTAATCTGGAAGCGTTACTCCTGTGGCTATATTATGTTACATCTGGCTGTTTGTAGGATGACAGGCGCTGAAGAGATGACGTGCAAATTGGTTGCCCTATTTTCAGGCTGGTTGTCGGTGGGTGAGTAGTTGTGAAAATTGGTTGATGAGGAAGTCCGAGTCTGGCTGGTTCTGTGATTACTATTGGGTATATTCTGTGTATATGTAGATGATTGGCTACTCCTTTGCTCAAATTTTCCTGGTGGGGGACATAAGCTTATATGGTGTCTTTCCTTACATCGCAAACATTGTTTTTCAGGGTGACAATCAGAGGAAAAATTACCCTTTCTTAGGCAGATAAAACAACGTCGTTCTCTTCTGAGTATATTTTTCCTGGCTGCTATATTGGTAACATTATGACAGGCGTTGGTTCTATGGGTGTCCTTACAATAAGTACAGTGTGTGACACCAGTGTTTGACATCAAGGCAGTGGCGGTTGGGTATGATCTGGCGGGTTGTGATCTATTGGAAAAAGTATCTGACCTTATTTGTGACGTGTTCAATTTTGTGGTTGCTCCCCCATTTATTCTTTCTCTGGCTTCTAGCTCTGATCCCAAGCTTTCTAAGAGTTTATCCAATTCACATGAATTATCTCCTACCTCTCTACTAATAATGATCTTCAGATCTGGCGGGAGTTTCTCCATTAAAACAGGTGCAAGTATACTACCATAGCTCTCTGAATGAACACCAATGGCCTTTAAACCTCTCACATTACTTTCTACTATATCGAATAGCTGCCTTAATCCATAAATATCTTTATCAGAACTGACACTTCTTACATTCATCATAAGCTCCATTTGTCTGTTTATTATCAATTGTCTGTTCCCAAATCGTCGTTTAAGAATATCTATTGCCTCATCATAGTTAGCAGCTGTTAAAGATAAACCAGAAATGGAATAATATGCATGACCAGTTAATAATGATTGTAAGTAGTTGAATTTATCAATTGGAGACAAAGATTGGTTGTTGTGAATGGCGGCTTCGAATGAGTCCCAAAAGGTATTCCATACATCCAATTCTCCTGAGAATTCCTTCTGTTCCAGTTTTGGCAAATAAGGTTCGACTTCTTGGAGCTTGGCGGATCATGTTGCTGTGAATTGGGCGTTGATGGTTCAGATGAGCTGTCTTGTGCCAAGGAATCTGATACTGGGTTGTTAGTGTTTGGGGGTGCTCTTGTAAGGGCTAATTCAATTTATAAAATTACCAATGAAAGTCTCTTGTAAAATATCACTTTGCTCCACTTCATCATTAATATCATTTTCCTCAGTGAACAGATAAAATTTCTTCATCAAATTTTTTCAAAGTCAATTTTTTCTCAATAACAGCTTGTTTTACCTGAATTAATCTCAGTTTCAGTTCTTCTTGTCCAGCAAATGTATCAAGTAACTCCTGTGCTGGCGATATCAACCGTTTGGATGAAGAGCGGTGTCCACCGCGTGCTTGTCTCATCTTCTTCCTGGTGGCTTCGTCACTCATTTTCGACGTTTAAACTATGGCAGAAAAACTGTAACGAATGGCGTAAAATGAAAATGAAAGTTCAACAATCTTCATAGATTATCATATTTACAACTGGTTTCGGGATCCTATATTCATTTACTAGTGAATAAGTTTGCACTCCAATCTGGTGCATCCGTCTCGTCAGGCCATGTCAACGAGTTCCAATTGGCTTGCTGCGTATCATGGCGATGTTTAGGTTCTGACTGTATGTACATGGAAAGGACATTCTTCTGCTTCTTTTAGGGGGTGGTTCATTGGCTCAGACTCATGGCAGAGGGTTCTATCTGTATTATAATTACCCACAGTTGAAAACCGGATACAAAACGTCAGTAGTAATTTATATGGCTTTATACAATGGCTTCATGAATATGGAACAAGCACTCTTCAAACATACAATATGAATGACTACAAAAATGAATATGGCGGCGTTGACTGAACAAAAAGAGACAATACAACTCACTGCACGTGCATGATTTTGATTGGCCGAAGTAAATCATGCTCGATTGTCAGGTCTCAAACAATTAGACAAATTGTAGGGCAAACACGTCTCTTTTAGTACAGAAGGAGAAATCCGTCTTCGTTCGTCCACTATAATGCTACATTTTTTACAATTATCAACAATATTTTTTAATTCTTTTTCTCTGATTTCATATTCAATATGCTAAGTTTAGTTAAGTGCGAAAAAAGAACTATTTTTAATGCTATATGTAATTTGTGAACTGCATGACGTGTTTCCTTATTATTAAAGGTATTGTAAAGACTTTTTCTACATTTTTTATGTATCGGGAACACTGAAAGCATCAATTAATTCAATTTGCACCATTCCAATATTAAATCAGACGTATGTGGTCCCTGCAACTTCGCTAAAACTAAGTGTTTGATGACGTCACAAATCGCGAAGGGTGATAAAGCATAGGGTAACATGAGGGAATACGCACCCTCTAAGAACTCGATTTGGAAGAAATATAAAAGTGGGAATTATGATGCCTAATATGCAAACCTCAGTTAGGTAAATAATTATCTATTAATATCTTTATATAGCAACCACTTTAGCTATTTTGAATATAAAAGGATGTTGGTAGGGATTACGTTACTAACGAAGACAGATAAAAACGCAATCCTATGATTAACCTTAGAGTTATTCCGATGAGGCATCTTGCCTCGATGGGCGCACTCCTCCATGCTACCCTATTTTGCGATTAGTGACGTCATCAAACTAGTTTTAGTGGAATTACAGGAACCACAGACATGTGATAGAAAATTGGAATGCTGCATTTTTTTTAGTGTCCCCTATACACATACAATATTTAGAAAAACCTCTTTACAATCCCTTTAACATTTGTATACGCCCACATGAATATGAATATGTGATCATTGGAATCGATAAGATCTCGGACGAGTTCTAACTTGACGCATTTTCGATGGACGGTTTTTGAGTTATTATTATTATTGACCTTGTTAAAACGCGTTTGAAATTTGTTAAAAATAGATTGTGAGCAGGATTGAAGCTACAGTTTTCAACCGATTCTGCTATTAACTTGGTGTGTTCATTGGAATTGATAAGATCTCGGACAAGTTCTAACTTGACGCATTTTCGATGAACGGTTTTTGAGTTATTGCCCTTGACTTTGTGAAAACGTGTCAAAATTTGTTAAAAATAGTTAAAAATAGGGGGGACAGAAAACCTGGGGGGACATGATATCCTTTGCCCCCCATACCCCAACAAATGGTCAAGCTTAGTTGAGTAGAGTGTCTGTAATGGACATAAAATAGGAATAATTTGGCATCCGAGAACATCAAAAAGTGTCTGTGGCGCACTATTCGAACAATTTATGTTCGAGTGACAGGAAGACCTTTCGTAAGCTTCCTTCTCGATCAACATTAACAATAAGTGGTTGCCTAGCAAGATACGCCCACTTTCCTGATAAATTTTCAGTATATCACAGACGGTCGCCAATCTGTGTCAAATCGTACCAAAAATCTAATTTGTACAAGATATTGTTGATTTGTTGTTGAACACACAAAATTTCATAAAATTTGAAAATAAACTGCCAACAAATTGTGATGCATTCATCACGGGCAATAACTTTATTCATTGAAAAATCGTCAAATTCAAATTTGACCATGATCCCATTGTAATAGATGATCACGCCATTAAAATCAGATGAAAACTGCAGTCTCTAAAGTGATCACAGCCAAATTTTGATGGGTCTACTAAACTACAATATACGACAATATACGACCACAATAAAGATGTTTATTCCCATATCGCCCCTTCCCATTTCGCCATTTCCCATTGTGTCCCTTCCCAGTTCGTCCCTTTTTTATTTTGCCCCTTTCCCATTTTGCCCCTTTTTCATATCGCCCCGAACCGGTTTTGCCCAATTACCATTGTTGCCCCTTATTCCCAATTCATCCTTTTCCCATTTTCATTTTATTTACAAAGGGATTGGACAGTATAAGGGTTAGTTGAATACAGAAAAAGAATTGCAATTAAATTGATATCAGAAAAAGGACGTATGCATTTACATTTACATAAAATAGGAAGGGGCGAACTGGGAAAGGGGCAAATTGGGGTGGTGGCGATATGGGAAAGGGGCAAAATAGCAAGGGGCGAAAAGGGACATCAGAGGACACAACTTAACTGTGAATAACTGTGACTGCCAGGTATAACGTTACTCTATGTTTATCAAATTTGATGACATTGACTGTTCTAAAAGTAGACCAAGTTTCAGCTGAATTCACATCTAATACCACATTAGACGATTTCAAATCAGGTACGAGCAAGATTTTGGGTTTGAAGAGTTTAAACTTCATGCAAAAGCCTTGGCATCCAAACATTGAAACCCCACCTATCATTTTTTTTTGTTCTCCATATTATTAACAATTAGCTGCAAATAGTTGACTGTTAATTTATTTTATTCGTTTTGAGAATTAAGCGGACGTTATGTATCTGTGTATTTTATGATGTAATTGTTGATTAGAATATGGACGTTGTACCTTTCCCCTTATTCTGAAGCGAGTTATAAATATTAGAATTCATGTACCCTTCGGTTAGTTTTTCTATCTTTACTCAAATGAATATATATATATAGTTGTATATTGCTTTATTTCTATGACAATCGATATTATATTTTATTGTTTGTAATGTATATCTAGTTTAACGCACATTGTGATAATCTCAATCAATACGATGATATATTATGTTTATGACTTTACAAATGAACTAATTATAGACTAATGTTTATAACACTCAAACTTTTCAAAGTTAATTTCATATCATTAATTTGATTTAAAAGGTGCCAATATTTGAAAAATCCGATGAGAATAATAGTATTAATAAATTAATGAATATTCTTTTTAAAAAATGTTCATGCTGAATTTTATATAAGATCTAAAAAAAACTTGTAATATATTTACACCTAATATTATTAGCATACTGATATAGGCAGAGTTATCAAGTATATCCAATAGTAATGTTATTTGATATTTCATTATGAACATGCGCAACTGACAGATTAAGCTAATGACGTATACCAGTGGATTAGTTAATCCACAGCTTAGCTACAAAATCTATACAATCTTAGTAACGGACCAACCAAACAATGTGCTATTAACTGAGATTGAAAGGTAACAGTTTGGACACAGTTTGTGAAATTGGTCGGATGGTATAAATTATAAGTTTGTATGAAGACAACCGCATTATGTGTTGCAATTAAAGTCAAGGTACTACGTGTTATTTCAATTTTGGAAAAAGATTATCTTGTAAACTTTAAAACATGGGTTGCCTGTTCTCCAGTGAGAGCAATAAAATTGGATCTAGTCAAGTTGTGCCAGTTATTCCAGCCTCTGAGGATTGTTGCCAAATAAATATTAACAATGGAAGCAAGATAATCGTTAGTCACCCTCAGAAACAGATAAAATGTAACTCAGCGAAAAGCAGCAAGTCTCTTAATTCATGTGACAGTTTGGGAGATGGAGAGTTCCAGGCAGACGAATGTGATAGAGGATTTTCTGCAACATCAAAAGTTTCAAAACACAGCTCAGATTCAGGTCTTGGTGGAGAAGATCATTCGGATTTTATCACGGAAGATTCTGATCCACATGTTGTTGATGAAATCCAGAAAAATTTCCAGGAACCACTAACACTTGGTAAGTACAATTGTAGGCTTACACAGACGCTTAAGAGATTTGGACCTTGGATTTTGAGCAAGTTTGTTTGATTGGCACAATTTTTTTTAAAAAACCAAATATGTACTACTATTTTCATTAGGATATTATATGAACCATTTGGTAATTTCATTAGTAATAGTAATATTAGTTCGTTTATTAATATACTATATAATATGTAATTAATCATTAATAGGAATATTTTTATCAAAGTTTAATTATTTCATTAGATTAGACCTAACACTTATCGCCAATCTGTCGTGGTTAAACACCAATTCATTTTATTTATGTCTCAGTTCCACTTAATTGATACAAAAAAACAACACTAGACATATTGTGAACAGCTCCGAGCGTGGCACGAGACCTTATATTCCAAGGCTTTGGACCTTTTGTAACTTCTCTTTTTTCAGATCTAAGTGTAGTTGGAGTAAAATGTCCTACAAGGTTAAGTGCAAAACAAAAACAAAGACAAGAAGAACAACAAGTTATAGAAACATTGAGAAATGAAGGTCTGATAACGAAGCTGACAGGTCAATCTTCTAAAGGTCTTGCCTTTGAAATCATCCAGGAGCGTCCGGAATCTGTTATCCCTCCTGCAAGGCTAGAAGATATGAAAAGGAAGAAAATGCAAAAGGAAGAACTCACAGAGCAAGAGATCAGGCAAAAGCTTTTCGAAGCCGAACGTCGAAGAAAGGTAAGCGTTAACTATGATACGGATCTTGTATCAAAGTAGTTCATGAAACACCCAACGTTTTGTTTAACAGATATATGGTTTGAAGGCTTAAAGTTCTTGACGACACCTTCCCCATATATAGTTTTTGATTTGCTCTTTTCCTTGGAAATAAACCTTTTAAGTTGTGCCACTATCTACAAGACCCGTTGCATGAGATGTTTACATTAACACGTTCTCTGTTCATTTAGCAACTGGAAGAAGAAAGAATAGTGAAGGTAAAATCTATGGAGAAAACAGAAACAGCTGGAGCTATCCAAGCCTTTGTTCAACGCCAAAAACTATTAGAAGATCAACAAACTAAAAAGATGGAGGAGGCAGTGGTTGCTCGGCAGACAAGATTACGCGAGATGAGAGATAAGTTGAAACAAAAAGAAAGACATGCTCAAGCTGTACGTGAAAGAAAACAATTGAACTTAGATACTATCACTCCTAGCCAAGACGGAGAGCACGAGCACATTTCATCAAATTGATATAATACATGACTGTATTGTATCTTTCTCCGAATCTCAGATCAATCTAGAATATAGGTATATCATTACTTAATGGTTAATTTTGAATAATAAACCAAAGAAGTAAGTTTAGGAACGAAAAGTTACTTAACGAAATCGATCCATTGGTTGTAAAATTTGATTCTGAATATTTCCGGTATATTCCTTTCAATATAGTACGAAACAACAAAAAGTTAAGTTTGTACATGTATTTCTAAAATTTACTTTTATTTGGGAAAATTAAACAAGGGTTAAGGATAGCGAAATATGTAATGAACACGAGTAAAAAGCATGGGTTGGCGATAAAGAACATGCGTTAAAAAAAGAATGCCGATTACAGATGAAGAACACGGGTTGTAGATGAAAACGTACGTTAGATATATAAAGAAACGCGATAAAGAGAGCACGGGAGATAAATGACGTGGGTTAGATTTAAAGGGATTATAAAGAGTTTTTTTTTTTCTAAAATTCGCTAAAACTATGTTTCATGACGTCACCAATCGCAAAGGACTAAAGGTGTTATGTCATACAAGCGTATTTTGCGATTAGTGAAGTCATCTAACACTTGGTTTCAGTGGAACTGCAGAACCACAGACGTCTGATTGAAAATTGGAATGGTGCAAGTTGATACTATCAGTGTCCCAGAAAACCTCTTCACAATCCCTTTAAAGAAAACGGGTTAATTTTAAGAACATGGGCTCGGTACAAATCATACGGGTAAAAGATAATGTGGGTTGGGATAAATAAAGCCAACAAATTGTACTATAATACAATGTGTAAATGGCGACTGAATGAGTAAGAGAACTAGTATGAAACTATTATTTATTGTGTATTGTATTTGTTATTGTTATTTGTATATGTTCCAGATCAAATTGAATGTAATTTTATGTATTTATATATCTTGTGTATTTATTTATATTTACAATATGGTTTGTTAAATTTGTTATCATTAAAGAAAATCTTAATTTCCCCAGTTTCCCTAACAAGGGTGGGTGACTCAACCCACTCTAGGGACCCCATCCCGCACCTTGGCTTATCAGTATACACGTCTGAAGGTCTCGTTTCGGGATTTGGATGACACAACTTCACATCTATAATCTGAGAATGATCTTATATGCATCAAGATATTAAGTGTATTTCTCGGCAGAGTTATGTGTAATTTAGATTTAGCATGGATAATGGTAAATCACTGAACATGTTCGCAAGATGAATTTCCTCAGATCGTGGATGATGCATGCATTGAATCGCAGACAAACCCCTAAAACCAAATGAAACATCTTGATCTGTATTTTAATACATGTATTGCAATGGTATTCAAGTGTTAAAGGGAATACTAAAGCTAATAAGCAATTGTTTACATTGTAAGTAAAGAATGATTTAAAAGGACATGTGCGCCATTTTGGGGGGAGGAGAGTGATTTGAATTATGTAGTCTTCAGATGTACAAGAAATATATGAACATCGCACAATCCCTTCAAAAAGATCTCAAACTGGGAATTTCTTTTCCTATTTCTATAACTGTCTTGTCTTGACTCGCCTTTTTTAACTTTCAAACGCGAATAATTCTGGACATACATGGATTTCTCATTGGCTTAACTAAAAAATTCCCGCTACTGAGGCTAAGGTACGATTGGTAAAAAAATGTCGGATCTGTCACTGTAAATAAAAAAAAATGGGAGATATTGTCCAATTCACTTCATTTTTACAGATTCATTCACAATGGTATGATCCCATCCTGAAAATTAGTTGAGATTATCTGCCGTATCAGCACATCACCTGGAAAATCCATTGCAACAATACCCATATTTGATCTCTGCCATTCCTTTCTTCGGAGCAGCTTCCACAAATGTCTATTCATCTTTTTAGAAACAGCGTATGGAAGGGCCATAAAACTTGCACCAGAACTCCATGTCAGATGGACACGACCGTCAACACCAACTCTTGATTTCTTGAGGTGCTCTCTAACAAATCGCCATTTTCTCAACAGATATCTTCTCGTCAGTCCAGCTACATTCCAATGATCGTCAATGGACATAGAACCATAAGGAACCCACACGTAATGATGTGTGTCAAAATTTTGAAGTATTACAATCTTTCCACGAGCTTCACTAAGTGACGGCCAATCTACAGACATCCAGAATCGACTTGAAGGATACTGATCAACATGATTTCTTACAGACGTAATTAATGATTGGGTTGTTTCTCTGGCTTTAGATTCCTGTCGGATTCTCATCAATATAATTTCTTGTGGATGATCATTGAGAAATGTTACAGTTTTATTCAACACAGCATCGAAATCAGTTTGTTGATACATTATTCCATGATATATTGGTAAACCATCCACACCATGATGGCATCGGATATCAAGGAAGCGAATTCCTGCTTTGAACTGTTCTGCTAATAATAAGCTTTGACACCGTGCAAACACTCCACCATGAAAACTGACTGAATTGTGAGTTCCAGGAATAGACAAATTCCGAAATGAACGAGAATTTGGGATATAAGACATCCAATCGCTATGTTCGTTGCTGGTAGTAGTTGAACGACCGTAGTAATCCGATTCTAGAGCATGGAATCCGGTAAATCCGTAAAAAAGAAACAACAACCACCACATTTCGTGATATAACTTCATTCTATCACGATAACTGGCCAATTATGAAGTATTATAATATAGTAAGTAGGTAAAACTAATTTGAGTACTTCTTCCTATACGGAAATAAGACATTAAGGTGTTGTAATTTGATCTGGAAAATCGGAATTGAAATTATTGTGAGTTGTTCGACCCACTTTTCTTCACTCGTTTCTTTCTCAAATAATATACATCTTTAGGGATTGTAAAGATAGCATCAATTTCAGTTTTAATAACACTAAAACTAAGTGTTTGATGACTTCTTGAAGGGCCTTATGTGCTAAAGCATATTTTGCGATTAGTGACTTCATCATACACTTATTGTTTGTTGAATTGCAGATACCACAGACGTCTGATTGAAAATTGGAATGGTGCAAATTGATACTATCAGTATCAAACATACTTGAAATGATAAAATGATAGAAAATACAGTTTTATTTTTGATTTTTTTTTCTAATATAATGCATAAAAAGGATATGTCAATTCAAATCTTCAACGACAAAACAATCACCTAACACAACCACACAGACCTATAATTCTGAATATATATTTTTACTTTTGTATGAGATTATTGGCATTAGAATATAAAGTAAAAAGCTTTTTAAAAAAATCATACAAGAAAAATATAAAATAGGAATTTTACCACCATTTAAAATAATCCTTTAAATTTAAATACAGCACTATGGAGCCATTCTTTAGAGCTTGGGTATGGTCACTTAACTCATTGAGTACAGTGGGAGAGCTTAGTCTAATGAAAATTTTTGTCAAGCCCCTATCACCATAATAAAAAAAAATCTTTCAATTTTAAAGTAATCATAGAGAAGTAACCTGAAAATTTGGTCTGTTTTTGTATTAGAATGTATATACTTGAAATAGTAAATAGATTTTATCATAGATACGTTTCATTTGATGTCATACAATTATTAGTTTAAAGAGATAAGCTGTCTAAATATTTGATTTATTATAATTTCAGCTATCCATACCACTTTTTAGAATTATGAGTAACAGTAACATGTGATGACTAAAAGGGAATTTTTTTGTTTTTGAATTGCTTGATAACAAGAAACTGACTTGCTGGATAACAAGAAACTGAATAGCTGGATAACAAGAGACTGAATAGCTGGATAACAAGAGACTGAATTGCTGGATAACAAGAGACTGAATAGCTGGATAACAAGAAACTGACTTGCTGGATAACAAGAGACTGAATAGCTGGATAACAAGAGACTGAATTGCTGGATAACAAGAGACTGAATAGCTGGATAACAAGAGACTGAATTGCTGCATAACAAGAAACTGAATTGCTGGATAACAAGAGACTGAATAGCTGGATAACAAAAGACTGAATTGCTGAATAACAAGAAACTGACTTTCTGGATAACAAGAAACTGAATTGCTGGATAACAAGAGACTGAATTGCTGGATAACAAAAGACTGAATTGCTGAATAACAAGAAACCGACTTTCTGGATAACAAGAAACTGAATTGCTGGATAACAAGAGACTGAATAGCTGGATAACAAGAGACTGAATTGCTGGATAACAAGAGACTGAATTGCTGGATAACAAGAAACTGTCTTGCTGGATAACAAGAGACTGAATTGCTGAATAACAAGAAACCAAATACAATTTCTGAAAAGTGATACAGATGGCTGAAACTTGGTTAATATCAGTTAATAAAGTAGAATTATTTAGAAGACTATAGCACTTAATGATACTTTTGACTAGAACAACCTATATACCATGTCATCTTGAGATATAGCTTAATTCTATGCTGATGCATTCATTTCTTCAGAATATTCATGAATAGCATCAATATATACTCCTAAATGATCAGGATCTGTATCTTTGAGAACGCCATGTCCTAGATTACCAATATAACGTTGGGTACCAAACTTCTGTACCATTTCTTTAACACCTTTTCTTATTTCATCCTGGAAGATAGATATAAAATTTTACTTGATTTATCAATAGTGTATGAGTCAGACATTGTCTACCCTTTGATCCATTTGGTTAATTTTTTCATCTGATTTGACCACATCTTCACAATGTCAAGTCATAATGTTTACAGCCTTTCTGTCAAGGGCTCTGATTGGCTGTATTTGCGAGTGTGTAATCAAATCAAATCACTGCATTTGTGATACCAGAAAAGTTGCTAATGAAGTCAAAGTATAAGATGAACATTTTGACACTGAAGATGATTATCTAACCAATAAACCTATGTATGTCAACCTTACAACAGATGGAGCAAATCATAAACACATCTTAAGTTCTTGTTAATTCTGTTACAACCTTTGAATTATTTATCTATCCTGGTTTACTGTGCACAATTGATTAGACTTTGACCTACTAAAAATGTGTGTGTCATTGAAAGTTGAGGTACAGGGCGATTTTAATCAACGTACAAACCTTTGATGCAAACATCATAACAGGATCCATATTACCCTGTAAAGTAACCTTTGTTTCAGCAAGTCGTCTGAAAAATATACAATATACTATGATTATAATCACTGTATATGTCAGGCTAAAACACAAGATTTATGTCTTGAACGTCAAGTTACCTTAAAAAGCACATGAGAAATCATACTAGGGATAAACCTTACCAATGTGATGTTTGTAAAAGTGTTTTATCTTGACACATTGTCATCACAAGCACATGAGAATTCATACTTATGTTACATAAACAGTAGCTAAATGATCAATATCATCATAGATCTGACGTCACTGAATAGCTTGCTAGCAATTTTTCTTTTCTCATTTCCTCTATGGAGAATGAAGGGATGCTAAAAACATCTAATTACAGCCATCAACCAATGAAACTTAAAGTGTACCTGGCATGAGTAGGTCTTATTGTCCAATCTAAACCAACAACTTCATAACCACTAGATGCTAAATCTTCTATGGCAAAATGGGCATCTTTAGCAAAAACTACCTAGAACAAGGAATAAAATATGACATCAGAGAAGGTGTGTCATTGCAAATCAACAATAGTTTTATTCTTTTGGAGTTTTTTCTAGGTCACAATCACCAAACTTACCATTGGTACCGGCTCCATATTGGATTCTTTCAGTTTCTTACGAACTTCTAAGGCTATTCTTTTTAAACAAGGTAACTCCATCTCATTGAATAATTTTGGTCCTAATTCTCCACCGTAAGAATCAAATACTTGGACTATCTGTAAAATATAGGATAAGATAATAGTATTGTATTCCACTTATGAATTTTTCTGGACCGAATTTGTCTTAAGTTACATTGTTCTGGACTGTCTAACTCATAAAAATGGTGAGGAAGTTAAAACTCTCAAAAAACAGATTGAGTATATCAAAATACTATAAAAGGAGCCATTATTTTTTCAGCAGCCATGATAACTTAAGAGATAGCTTCAGCTATTCTGATTTGATGAAGTGAACCACAGTCCCATCTATTTATTGATAAGGGGAAATAAATACACTTCAATAAAAACTATGGCTTCACTAGCAAACAGGGCTCTACATTTTGTATGGGCATTAAAACAAACTTGAAATGAAAAATGAAGCCTTAATAATACCTGAGCACCAGCTTTAATTTGTAATACTAAATGATTTATAACAGCATCTGTTAATATCTTTAATAACTTTTTACCAGCTTCAGGGAATTCTACCAGAAATCTTCTAGCTCTATTAGGATTTGGACCAGCACTAACATTTTCAACCATGAATTTCATTAATGTCCACTAAACAAACAACCAATATTATATACAATTAATGTATTTAAGATAGTCCATAAAGCTTGTATTGCTGATTTGCATATATCAATATATCTTTCAGCTTGTTATCTTGTTAGTTTCTGGCAAAAATATTTGAATTTTACATTGCTCTGTGATCTAGGCCAGTGCTTTCATTGAGACTTGTCTCAGACACCCTTATACTAAGGATTTGGTCTAATAATTGTGCTATGTGTAATTTTTCAACAATATTATGTTATAGTCTAGATTACAGACTGACACATATATATATATATAAATATCAAAATAGAGCTTGATATTTCAAACAAAAACTTTGTTATGATTCATTTTTCACAACTTGTATAATAATACTTTAATAATCTAATTTAAAAAAAATTAACAATCATTTACTAAAAATTTCATCAAATATATAGTGATTAATTCATAAAATCAAACTTGTACAATCAGTTTGGAAAGGTTCCGCTTGGATTAGAAATATGCTAGTCACAAGCAAAAAGCAATACAAACAATGATTTGAATATATCTTTTATAACAATTTCATATGCTGGTTATGAATTGCTAGTATCATATATGTGAATGTATGATATTCATACATACAAATTAATTATGATAATATACAATTCCTACATACAAAGAAATCATACAGGAAATTCATATCAAGGAGAAGTTTTCTTTTTACATTTTAACAACTATGTGCCCTTGCACAAGAGCTAAATTTGTCGCTAAACTGAAAACTGAATTTTTAGTCAAATAATTCCAAAAAGAGGCATTTAATCGACAATATAGAGAGGCTTTGAGAAAATTTTTTAAATTTTGAAATCAAAATGAATACTTTACTTACAGGAGCTCCTACAAAACCAAACAATGGGACTTTTCCTTCTAATTTTTTTCTGGTTAATGTGATGGCCTCATAAACGTAACCAAGTTCTTTGGTCATATCAGGATCAGGGTTTAATCTATCTACATCACTTGGTTCCAAAACTGGATCTGCAAAAACTGGGCCCTACAATAGAAATTAATTTTTCATCTTTGAGAAAACATGTATATGAGAACTGGTGAAGAATTTGTGAATTTTATGATTAAAGAGGGATAGATCAAACACACTAAAACCTGTCTTACAATAAATTCTTTCAATAATCTACCATACAAATTGTTCTTTGGGGCAATATGCTTTTAAGTTTCAGTAGTTCATGTAAAGACATCAATCAATTAAAGTATTTGTTAATTAAGACTGAGGACAATCATTACTTACTTGTCCTGGATCATTTGCAACAGTTAATCCAAGTGCAATAGGAATGACTAGAATATCTGAAAATATTATAGCAGCATCTAAGGGATATCTTCTTATTGGCTTAAAGAAAAGAAACATCATTTATACATACAAAATGATAGAATTAATATTATTTTACTTGCATATATTACTGTTGTTTCTTTTTTAATAAATAATCATTTTTTGAGTGTATAAGCAAACAAATTTAATGGACAGATTCCCCATTTGCGGGGGTTTAATTTGGTCTTAAAATAATGTAAACAGTCTTCAGTAATACTAGAAATGTACCAAAATCGCATATTTCTAAATGAGACTGAGGTACGATTGGTCAAATGGATTTCCTTTGTTTACAAAGATATGACATACCTGCAGAGTTAATTCACTGACTAATTCAGGATCTCGACATGTTGCAAAGAATGGTTTATCTCCTTTTGCTTTTTTGTATTCTTCAATTAAAAACATATCATGATTAACCAATGTAATAATGTAAAGGATTAGAAAGAGCTTCTCTAAACTACTTGCATTTAGTGGAGATATTTATGGCAAATTTGCACAATTCCTTACTGTAAGCTTATTTGATGAATTGTGAAATATTCATATTCATTTACTTTTATCGCATAAGCACCATTTTTGATTGGTTTGCATTAAATCATAACAGCTTTTGATTTTTTGTTGGCCAAAATTCATAGAACACACTTTAAACTAGAATCTTGTCAGATCAAGGATGGAATGTGTAGAGTAGGCTATTAGCAGAAAAAAAAACATAATAAAACGATATCTATGCCTACAGTTTAATCAGATTGAGCCATAAAGTAATTTGAGTCTAATATGATCAAAATGTATTAAATGATTCCTAGTAACAATGTGTATTTTAGTCAACAGACCTGGTAGATAACGACCAGCTTGTCTCATAATCCATACTGGAACTCTTTCTGTCTTTTCCCCACGAGCAGCACGTAATATCAAGTCATTTTGCAATGGAGCAAACACCTGCAAAGACATCCATCATTAACACTAAGGCTATTTTATGTGGAGTTTTATGTCCTGTTTTTCCCAGGCATAAAATTTCTTTATCATAATGAGCATTCATAAATGGATTGTCTATCCTTCACTCATGTAGTGAAGTAAAATATTAATATTAGATCTATTGTCTAATCAAAACAAACATTTTTTTTGAATTTTTTATATACCGGTACGGTACATGTAGATCCGGTACATGTAGATCTAGATCTACATCTATTTTCTTAATGGATTGTAAATTTTTCTTAATGTGTAAACAATGCCATGATCTTCTTGACCTCTTCCTGGAAGGGCATGTACAATACTGTCACCCATAGATATCCTATATACATGTTTTATTTCTGCTATCACTTGGGTGTTATCATGTCTGGATGCAAACACGAGACACCATTTGACAAATGTAACAAGTTACGTAATCATTTTTTTGTCACAGGACAAAGGGTGAATTCGCTCACTGAAAACTCTTTACATTTAAAATTCTGCATCTTGAATTAATTCTATTCACAAACTATGAAATATTTAATGACATTGGGTTTAAAAATAAATTTTATTTCACCTGGACGCTAGCTTTCATGTCACCGGTTTCAGCCATGGTTTTTGGTTTATATTGTAGTTACCTCCCTTGCAACCTACAGTTCAAGCTGAACTATTTAGTTCAAAGTTGAACAATGTTCTCTCTATGATACATATCTTTTACATGATTGTTGTAGGAAACACGGATGAAATTAAAGACTGTTATTTATGAATTTGAATCTTCAATCCTTTGGAACACATAAAGTCCATAAATAAGCCTGTTCTAATGTAAAATTCTGTGCCACCAATGTATGCCATGTAGAATCTCATCAAAAATAAAATTTTCTTTTTCAAATTATTTATTTAAACTATAATTCAAAAACTCAAAGAAAAAATAAAACAAAACCTAACAAAATATAAACTGCATAGAGTGACTAGAAAACAAGGAATGATAATGAAACTAGTATTAATATAATGAATATATTTTTCTTAAATTATGGATTTAACCAATATTATGCTACTAATACTTACAAATTACCAAATTTCATTTTCACATATTTATTAAAATAACAATAATTAAATATTAGAAGAAAAATAATTGTAAATTGAGACAATATCTATCACATAGAATGAGATTGACAACCCTTGAGAATGCATTTAATACATAAAAGAAAAAAGTATAACAGAATAACCTATCAAAAAGATTATTTTTTGGAATGCTTCAAAATTAAACAACAAAATAATACATTAATAATACTTAAAAAGATCACAGATTTGTCACTACCAAGTGAGGTAAATGATTCAAGCTTTTAACGTAAACATAAAAAGTAGCAAGAAATGATAGTGAAATACTCTAAATCTAAAACAGAGATGTCCCACATCAATATCTCACGATATCATTTCAACTAATTAATATACACAATGAACATTTATAGACATTATTATGGAGTTTATCTTACAAGACCTAACAATTAGCTGCCACAAAATAACTATTGCTAAATCTACTAAAACAATTTGTTAGTCATGGTTTCTATAAATACTGATTTATACATGCATATCGCTGTATTTGCATTCAATTGTTCTAAAATTGAATAGCTGGTACCATTCCCATTATAATAACAGTTATTTCAAGATTTGACAAATTACTGGTAGATCTATGTAAAAAAAAAAAAAAATTAAATCATAAAATTCTTTTAAAAGTTGATTTGATAGCTTTTGATTATTATGATCACAAATTCCCAATTCCTTCTGTAATAACAAAATAGGTATTGAAGCCAACAACCATGACCAAGGTCAACAAAACATGAAATCCAAATAGCAAGATATTCATTCCCAATAACTGTTTATAAAGCATGAATCACCCAAATGATTAAAGATAAAATTCTTTCCCTTTAGAATTTCTACGATGTTGCCTTCTAGGAGATTGAGTTGAAGAATGGTAAAGTTGATCAGTCTCATTTATAGCTGGTGTTGAACCATTTAAATGACTGAAATATTGTATAGATGTCCCAATTCCAGAATCTCCCTCTGCATGTGTATCATCATCATATAAGTCATCTAAATAGCCTGAGCTCTTCAAGCTATTTTCTGTGTCAGTTATTGTAGAGATCATTTCTGCTAAATCAGATTTGAAGGAGAAAACCCTTTTAAAACTTCTTATACTTTTCTGGAGAGCTGCTATCTGTTGGTTTTTCTGGCTCATTTGCTCTTGCAGGATAGTGACTGTCCTTTCTTTAGATTCCAGCTTTTCTTGCAAAACATCAATTTCCATATTTTTGGATGCTTCCAACTGGCTAAGTTTTTCTTTTAACAGATCATCTTTTGCTTGTAAAGACGTGTGTTGTTCTTTCGAAAGAGATTCGAGCTCGTAAACTTTTCTATGAAGACCAGATATATGTTTGTTAGCTTCGTCTATAGTCGTCCTTGGTATCATCATAAAAAAAATAAGGAAAAGTCTGAAGATTTAGTAAAGAGCAGACCAAAAAATTGACCGGCGTTGAAGAATAAATTTAATGTTATGATTTCATGTAAATAGGAAGCGGAAATAGATTAAGATTTTCTCGGTTATCCAGATTTTTCATTTTCTTTATTGTTGACAATCGAGGCTAAATTATAATGCTGACGAATCGAAATGATTTATACAGAAACTGACGTAAGCACGTGATATTCAACCAATCTAAACATTCGTTTTTACGATGCATAATAATCAGCCGCCATTACAATTCCCGCGTTTTGTTAGTAACAAAACATCTTCTAAACGTGAAAAGTATTCAGACATTCATGCGTGATTATTTATACGTAGTCAAATTATGGCGAAGGTTAACGTGTTGAATGTAAACGTATTGGACAATCCGTCACCATTTGTAAATCCTTTTCAATTCGAAATAACTTTCGAATGCATTGAAGATTTGCCAGAAGGAAAGTTTATTTCTCTCACTTTGATAACAACAGCAAAATGACAGCCTAATCTTGAGTCTTAAATTGATGCTGTCACTGACAATACTCCTTAATCAGATTTGCATTTGTCTGTTCTTTCACAAATATTTATAACAGTATTTATATTGAGTGTTATTTGATTTTGGGCATAGATAGGATTAGGAATATAACTAAAAGTAAAGTTTGAGTTTGTGCAGATAATATTTGTAGACTGTGTTTCCCCTTTTTTTTATTATGGAAATTTGAGTTTTATAATGTTAGTCCTTGAAATGAACACAATACAAATACCTCCCTTAAATTCCAAAAATTATCAAACTTTAACCTGAAAATGTTGAGCTCTTTGATATCATTTTTCTGTAAAATGTCAACTGACCTACTGTATAGTATGTGATTCATGATTGTGTTAACCTGAGATTGAGTAATGATATTATGCCAATTAAAAACTTGGTTACAATGATTCTGAATTATGCCACCACTCAAGCAATCCCTTTAATTAGATTTGATTCTTAAAACCTTTCTTAGCCAGATTGTATAATTAATGCTTATTTTTTACAGATTTAGAATGGAAATTGATATATGTTGGTTCTGCAGAGACTGAGGAACATGACCAAGTTTTAGAGACAGTGTTTGTTGGTCCAGTCCCAGGTGGCAGGCATATGTTTGTCTTTCAGGTGAGTTCAGTGATCGAATTAATATTATTTGAACGACATTTAGAAGTGAAGAGCACGTAACAAAAAAAAACACAAGGTAGAATCTTATGGTATAACACACTTCTTTAATAAAACAAGAACATCTTTGTTACTAAAGAAGTGTGTGATGGTAGACCATGATGTATTCCCTTGTGTTTTTTTGTTATAAGAATTAATGTTTTTATTTTAATTGTACACAAACTGTTCGGCAATTTAAAGCAATTGTAGACTTTCTAATCAACTATTAACATCCCCATAATTGCTGATCTTCATTTTTTTAAGGCTGACCCCCCAGATATAAAGAAGATACCAGAAGCTGATGTTGTTGGTGTAACTATTATATTATTAACATGCTGTTATAGATCTAAAGAATTTATACGAGTGGGTTATTATGTAAACAATGAATATGAAGACCCAGAATTAAAAGAAAATCCTCCTGCTTCAGTTATTTACGAAAAAGTAAGTTTTTATAGGGCAAGGTGAACATTCTTTGCTTTATCAAAATTCATTAACAGGTTCTGCGGGATATTACTTTGAAAGAGTTTAGAAAAAATATTAATTTTCACTGCCATAATAATTTATGTGTACTATATTGACTGTTGTATGCTTTATTGAATATTTCTGTAAAATATTTTAGCTAATGCAAGATTTTTCTTTCTTGAGTGTCTTTCTGGATCCATTTCTTATAGGTTGAGTTGTTGTTTGATCATGCAATAAGCAATATTTTTGATATTTTTAATCTTATGAATTTCAGTTGCAAAGAAATATTTTAAATAGACCAAGGGTAACAAAATTTAAAATAGATTGGGATGATAATGCAGTCACAAATGCTACTGAAAATGGGGAAAATGTACCTCCTGTTCGGAATTTAGAAAACATGGACACTGCCTCAAACCAAATGGCATGTGATTCTGCTTGTGGTGCTGTTATGGGATCTTCTAGTTACCAAGAGAATAGTAACAGTGTGAGCATGGATACATCAGTTAAAGCTATGTAATATAGTTAGTGGTATTTATAACAGAGTGTGGTTATTAAATGTGATATGACATTTACATAAAATAATACATAATTCCCAAAATGGCTTCTACTGTAAAGTCAAATGAGTGCTGATAATGACTTTGTTTGGTACAAAAATTATTGAAACTGAGTTAAATCATGGCAGCTATGTGTGAATACTTTTTTATTATTTTGCCAGAATATTATGACCATCATTAACCACAGGTGAATATGTGGCTCAATCATATAACAAGCCTTGTTTCAATTATCATGAATAATATAACAAAACATTTATCAGATGGAGTAGTTTCCCGAGAACATATTATTTTCAACTTCGAGAATCAATTGGAAGTTAAAAGAATACATCCCAGATGGTTGCTTTATATAAAATTATTCTGACAATTTCCACACCTTTGAAGGGTTTGAAAAATGAACGTTACTGTCACACATATTTCTAGAAAAACATCTCTGGGAAATTTTCTTTAACATATAATTTATCCGAACCATAAAAACAACTGGTTATAACATTTCTATGCATCATAATCATTTGTATATTGTTGATATTTTGTATATATTTTGTGTAAAAAATCAAAGTCAAATTGTTGTTACTGATTCCTGTGGTACGCATATGTGGTGCTGTTCCTTAATTTTCCAAAGAAGATGCACAAAATCTCAATTTCTCTTTATGAGGACAAATATTATTGTCACCCATGACTTTTTGTTCAAATTTCCCCTATCATAGGTGCCAAAGAAATGTCCTACTTGACACAAAAATAACCTTTTAAGAATGGTACTGTAGTAAAAAACTTGTTAGATTACGTTGATAAAAAACGAAAGAAAATCTGAAAAATGTGAAACAAAATTGATTTTGTCTTTTTTTAATTAGATTAACTCATAGCCTTTCAGTCAAGGTTTTGGAATTTACAAATCTGTCCCCTCAATATTAGCAACAATTGCCAGATTATTATATTATAACCCACTGATGCAAGATAAATTCACACAAATCTGTGTAGGCATTATGATACTATGCTCTCAGTTATCTTTGAGTTAGAGGAGATTATTCTCATATAAGAACATCCCCAGCCTATATTGACAGGTCCTATAAAAGGGTTCATGACTGAATGATAGAATACCTGCACTGCTGCAGCAGACTTGGGTATTAGGCATAGGCTGGGGAGGAGAGCCGACTCTTAAGGATGCACAGGACTGATCATATCTACATCTACCAAGCCTCCACTATTTTATGTTATAATACAACTGACATCACACATTAATGCTCAAGGATGGCCTATGATGTTGGGTTCTTGTAATTGTGCGGAGAAAATAGCCTTTGTTCACTCAAACTTTTACAAGTAGCCATTGCACCTGGACAATCAAACTTTGTAGACGGAGGTAGACTTGATCTTCCACTACACACACAGCCATAGCAACCACCTTGTTGATATCATCCGGGTATTTCAAATATGTCTGCGCCCACAAACAGTCGATAATAATTTTATTTCCAAAAGAATACCCTTGAAGCGAGTAACAAAATGTCAGACGGCGACGGGAAAGGAATTTCTGATAAAGAGAAAGAGTCAGCATTGCAAAATGAAAAAGAAAAGGTAGTACTATATCGTTAGTTTATAGTTATAGTTTTTCAATGTCTCATGATCATGATGGTAGGTCTACTGCTCTACTAAATACTACAGTCTATACTGACACAGACAGTGATTCTAGCCCAATTTAAAACATCTCGGCTCTTGAATTAATGCTTACTTATCTATCATAGTCTTAACCTATTTTTGTATAGTGTTAGGGTGTATTGAGGAAATTCTAGGCGATGTCACAGAGCAATAGATATGCTTATTAATTGGTATGAATTGGTGTAGGTATTCTAGATACTTATTATTATAATAGGCCTAAATGATTTGTGCATTAATTTGTGGTAGGGTAGGTCATTAAGGCCTAGCTTCTCATTAGTCTAATTTAGCCTAACATAAATATGAGCAGTCATCATTTCTTGGCTTCTACTATAGTCCAATTCACTGAAAAATTATTCGTAGAAAGTACAGTAGGCCTACTGTCTACAGGTAACTAAGTATGTAGCCTACCGTCAATGGCACAGAAAAAGACCTCTTATTCACTTGTAATATTAATTCTGTAGGACACCAGTAAAGATGGGAATAAATCTGCTAAATCCAAAGCTACAACACCAAAATCAAAAAGTCCTGCTGGAAGTAAACCGGGCAGTGGTGTTAAAAGTCCCAAACCAGCAGCCAGTGCTAGAAGTGATAAGAAAGGAACTCCTACTCCAAGAGGTAAGCTACAACTTTATTTTTAGTAAGTTGGCTCACTTCAATAATAAAAATTTTAATCCAGCTGCTCATATCAGAATTGTATAAGCTTAAACTAAGTGAAAACCGCATTAGGTAATAGAGGTTAAAAAGTGTACAAGAAGCCAACTGTTGGAAGCACTGGCTGTTGAATCAGAATTTTTGATATCTAGAGGAAGATTATCACCACTTAACATAATATGACTACACTATATTTGTAATGAAGAAGTTTATAAGTTTATGTGATGTTTATCTGTAGGTAAAGGGAAAAGTAAAGTAGAAAAAGTATCAACTCCAGCACCAAGTTCTGTTGATGGTGGAGCAGATGATGGTAAGTGAAATTACTACTCACTATAAGTTGAGTTGATAAGAAAATCTCATTGTTTCACCCTCTGAAAAATTTCCTTTAGTTCAAGGATTAACATGGATTGCATGCTAATGAATGGGCCTTGGATGTGTTATAAATTCGATATGAGAGTATTTTAGACAGAATAATGAAATCTTACTGCAGTATGGAATTTTGAAATGTGTGTGAGCAAATGCTAACAAAGAAAATACAGTTTAACAAATTGAATTTGTATCTGATTTTGAATGAATTATGTAGGGTAACAGCAATATTGTTTCATGTCATGATGTACAAAATATTTAAAACATATACGAGTATAGGAAACATCTGTGGATTATTTCAGTTTTACCTGAGAATGCTGTTCCATTGTTTATGACATCTAAAACACAAGAAATATTTGGCTGTAGATGTGATGAAGATGTCAGTCAAGAAATGCCATTTAAATTGATTCCTAAACAAGAAATTTTAGATGACTTTAGAAACCGAGCTGGTGTTTGTGATTTTACACCTATTAAAAAAGACATTTTGGTATGTAATTATCCAATATCCAGAATTAATTTTGAAGAACTTATAACTTATTAAGGTAGCTTTACTAAGAAAATGACTTAAATTTGCTATTCTAGAGTAAATAGGGTTCTGTTTGGCATTGGTGAAGATGTAGGGAATTTATTATTCTGGAAGTTAGTGTTCTATTTGGCATTTTCTATTGAATTTCTTCACAGGTTCACTTGGTTCCTAATACAGGGTCTAGGTACCATGGTACATTTGGATGGAACATGGTCATTCGTACGAAATTAAAGGGCCCTCAACAGTACAGAGATAATATACAAAGTTGATTTGTCTAGTTGTCTTAATTTCATGAACATGTTTATCTTATGTATATCAAGGAATGATTTTTTTATAGGACTACCCTGGTGATGAGATTTTGGTTGTTTATGATTATGATTTTAAATTTGGCCAGAATTTTTATGTGGCACTGACTGAAGAAACAAAAGAAAAACTTTTAAATGTAAGTTGAATTTTCTTGGGGCCTTGAGCAAACAAACTTTTATATATAAGACCCTTGGCAATCCAAATGGTACTTACAAAATTGTGTATTATATGTTTTATAGAATGAAATGAACATTAAATTCTTTTCATTTTCATAAGGCAAATTACTATTATTTTCACACAAGGAATTTGGATGGTTGGATTGTAAGCATGGATCGAAGCAAATGTTGGTCACAAAATTGGTTTCTAGGCTTATCTTTGAACAAGTAGTATAATTGCTTTTAAGTAAGTGTGAATATAATAGATAATGTAGGCCTATATGTGTAATTTTTCCAGCCACCTCATGATAAAGATGGGGCTGATACAGAAGGAGGTTTAGAAGAAGAAGATTTAGAACCAGTTATATATAAATACATACCACCTGAAGCTAAACCTTGGATCTCTTTTGGTAGTGAGGTAGAAATATATGAAGAAACAGTCAAAGAAAATAGAGAAAAGGTATATGAAAGGGTATATTTAAAGGGACAGGTGCACCATTCAGGAGTTCATTTGAGTCTTGAATGTATGTAAATACATAAGATAAGACATAAGTACTTTAAATGTACGAAATCTCATAATTCCTTTAAAAATACTTCAAACTAGGAATTTTACTCACTATTTCTATATGTGTCTTTTGTATATATCACAGAGTATCTTACAATAATGAGTTGTCATTTTAACATACAAACTCAGTAAATTTGGACTTGAAGGCTCAAATTTCGACTGTGAACTGTGAACACTTTTGCTGATAAGCTTACTTAAAAACTTCCTGTTTCTGAGACTAAAATATAACATGTCAAAAAAATGGTGCATCTGTCCCTTTAATTATATGTTACACTGACGCTTACAGCTTTTATTGTTTCCTGCCAAGTGTAACATCTTTGGTTATAGCATTTCAAGAAAATAAAAAGTTATTTGTCTTGGAGGATGTAAATAGTAAGCTACTAGTGGCCCCATACTGTTTTACATCTATAGATCACATGGTTAGAACTTCAATACTATATCTGAACATTATGATTTAATTACATTTGATGCAGAAATTTGTATTTAAGAAAAAGGCATCAGTTTTTTAGTTTAATTCTCAAGCACACGGTAAATATTAGATATCTAATCTATGATAAATTGGAATTTATACTTATTTTTGGTTGTTATGATATTATTTAAGGTGAAAGTGTTATATAAAAGAAAACGTAAAGAATTTGGTGCTCCTGTGACTTTCAGTGATAGAGATGTCAATGATGCTAAAGATGGCTATATTGAATGTGTTTCTTATGAAGATAAGAATTTTAATCTAAAGAAGATGGAATTGGATAAAGGACTTCAAGTATGTAGTTACCTAACTCAACAGTGTTCCAGTGACCTCTGAAAGAGTTTACTTTTCTAAGCCACAAGTCCAAAATTTATATGGGATTGATCCAGAAAGGAATGTTCTATAAGCAACAGATTGCTTCTAATCTCTTAAAAAAAGATTTGTCCAATTGGTTGCACATAGGTTCACTGATCTTCTTTCGCTCAAAATGGTTCAGAGATCTTTCACTGCAATTTAATTTAGCTATTTTTGTTTTTCTTAAACTGCATTTCAAGTGTTTATATTGTTTTTGTTGCTCCTAAATCCAATATACATTGTCTTTTAAGGCTATACCAGAGTCTAATGCATCTGGAACCCAAACTGATTGGACTTATCCAAGAAATGCCAATACTCAGTATTATCCTAGAGAGTTTTCTGAGGAACAACAGAAAAAAATGGAAGCTGACAAAAACCTTCAAAACTTCCTGAATGATGCAGCACCAAGGTTTGAAATCTTTCTTTCTGGTTGTTTATTTATGGCGGACTTTTTGCAAAACATGTTGTTACTCAGAGTTTATGCTATACGATCTTCAGACAACTGACCTATTTCAGCATGTGCCCCTACTGAAGATTAATAAAAAACTGTATATTTTATATTAATTTTTATTTTTCAGATTTGAATTGGCTCTACAACAAAATGAAATAATGAATGTGTTTTATAATGATTGGTTACATCTAGGTGATGATGAGAATACATTAGGTAGTAAAGCTGACAATCATTTAAAGGTATGGAGATTTTATTCTAGTATGATACATGTACTTGCTGTAAAACAACTGGTGCAGATAGGTATGATGTAAAACTCTATTCATTTCATGTGTAAAACAACTGGTCACTGGCAATGTTTTGATGATGTCATTCTTGTCTGTCTATTGTTAATTTCACATTGATTGATAGAGAAATTTGTATCTTATTTTTAGGAATATCAATCGTTTACTGATTTACAATTTAGTAAAGACAAAAAGATAACTTGTATTCAATGGCATCCTACTATAAAAGGTAAATTCTTATGATTTTATAAATAAAGGTGCACCATAGCTAAGATTATCAAAATTAATGATCAAATGTTAACGAGCATGTTAATTTTTTTTAGGTTTTTATTTTTTGGTATATTAGCTTAAAGTAATTTGCACATTTTCAGCTGAATATCAATAAATCAATCACTCAACATAAGTTATTTCAGGTCTGTTTTTTGTGTGCCAATTTGATAAAATGACGACTTGAATAAAACTTTATATTTATAAAAATTAAAAAAAATTGATTTCTTGTTAAATATTTGATATAGGTGTCGTAGCAGTAGCTGTATCACAAAGATTATCATTTGATGATAGAGTAGATCATGGTGGTAAAATTATCATGAATCCATCTTTAATACTAATCTGGAGTTTTACTGACCCTATACATCCACAGGTATTTCATTTTAATTCTACGAGTCTGATTAATCTGGCCTTACCCAGTTGGAACTTGGAACATATCATAATATTATCGATTTTATGTTCATCTTAAGCCATGCTCCGTTAAGGTGCGGGTACACAAGCTGTCCTGGTCGGAGATTTTTTGAGTAAAACCTTGTGAGTGCCCATGCTTCCACGACAAGATTATGGTGTTGCCGTCAGGATTTATAATATCAAACAAGTTTGATACTTTTCTCTGATATTCATCCAATCAGATTCCTTTTCCTTTCAATTGCATGCTCCACAAATGATTATCGCCAAGGTGGAAAACGACCGTCTGGAGATTTTTGTCTCCTTGTGTGCCCATGCCCGTCGATGAAACTCAAGACAAGACTCTAATTGGCAACAAAATTCTCCTACCAATACAGCTTGTGTACCTTTAGGCTCTGATTGTGTTTAGCAAATGATCAGTTAATTAATCCATAACTAAATGTTAAATGTAATACAATTTGATTTCAAACATTGTAAATTGTAGTTATTGTTAGAAGCACCAGATGATATTTATAGTTTTCAATGGTGTCCAAGTGATGCTAATATCCTAGCAGGTGGTTGCTACAATGGACAAGTAGTATTATGGGATATATCGGCTGTAGCAGATAGACTAAAACAACGTGGACAAAATAAAGTCAAGAAAACCACAGTGCTTGTAAGTTGATCTTAATTCAAACTTAAAATATGCATCTTTAAGGTTATTGTAAAGAGGTTTTCTTTCTATTTATTGCGGCGTGGTTACATCAATTGGCACTCTATATCAATTTTCAGTCAGACGTCAGTGGTTTGTGCAATTAGTTTAATACTAAAGGTTTTATTACATAGATATTACAATTGCCCTTAAATATTTTAAGAAGATTTCACCAGAGCTTCAATTTGCATCATTCCAATTTCCCATCCAGCATTTGTGATTGGGACATGACTATGAAATTAAAGGAAGAACAGATGTCAGACAAGAAATCAAAATAATGCCAATAGAGTGAACATTATACACTCAAAGGCAAGAAAACCTCTTTTGAAATCTGTATTTCATAAAGTAGCTACATTTATTTTTCATATCAATTACTGATTTGTCAACTTAATAATAAAATGCTGAAATGATATCTATATTTAGCCTGGATTTGAAGATCCGAATGCATTAAAAACACCAGTGGTTAGATATTGTGCTGTATCAAGTATAGAACATAGTCATAAAGCTAGAATAACAGATATAATGTGGGTACCTGATCATATGGAGGTAAATCACTTTTCTTTATAAGTTTATCTGATTAATTTAAATAGCTTGATTTGACTTTTCAGGCCAGTTTCTAATTAACTCGGGAATGAGTTTGTGGTGGGTTGATAGAAGTAAATTAACAATTAACAAAATGAATGATATGTAAATTTAATGGGTACCCAACACAGGTAAAATCACAACTGCAATACTTTTGCAAGCTTTTTAGATATCCAGATCCTATTGTTCACAGATATCTTTGTTTTTTGTGCATGAATATATTTTGCTTGATTCCTTTTCAGATCAATAAACTTGGAGAACCAAAAGAAAATAAGAATACACAGTGTGTACAATTAATGACATGTGCTACAGATCAGTAAGTTTTTCTTTATCAAATCATTTACAACAATTTGGAATTTCTTGATACCAGTGAACCATCAGTTGCTTATAATTACCTCTACTGGTACTTATCGATACAGCCTGAGTTAGTTAGAACTAGGTTGTATTAAGCATAATGTTGTAATTGTTGTATTTATACTTATTGACTGGTATATATTTATTTATAGTTGTGTATTGATATGGGATACTAGACCTATTAAAATTCAACAAACAAAAGATGATGATAAAGGACCTAAAAATCCAATGGGAGTACCTAATACTTTCCGACATCTAGATTTAACTTGGAAACCATTATTGAAGGTATATTATAGGTTACTTAAATAAAAGATAGGCATACTCTTTTCCATAAAGGCTACCTTCTTTGGTCAATAATGACTTAATGATTGTTCATAAGCATTGGCATTAGGGGTTGAATGCTGAAACTGGAAACTGGAAACTGGGCCTACTCTCCGACACACTTGGCATGACATTTTAATTAGGTTTCGAATCCAAGATACCTAATTGCTTAGCAGACGACAATCCAACTTGCTATCAACTGAGCCAAATCACTGCCATAGAACTTAACTTAAATACATTCTTCTCTATACTTTCTTTTGGTGAACATGCCTTGAACAGCAATTTCTGGGTATGGGTAAAAAAAAAAAGTGTGACTCACAACTATAAATATAAGTGTCATTGTTGAATGTTTTTTTTTAATAGGTTCAACTCCATAAATCTGAGCCTGGTGGAGACCACAGTCCAACTAAATTTACTATACATGAAAAACAAGGTACAAGACCACCTGGTAAGTAAGGTTGATTTTTCTCTCGATTCATATTGTATCCTCTTGACTATACTGTTGATTATACGTTCCATTGTCATAGGTTTTCACACAACTTTCAATCAAGTGTTCTGAAATTTGTTTTCAATGTAATTTCTCTTATTTTCCTCAATTTTTGAAAAACCCTAATCAAAAATAGGTAACATCTTAAAATATCTAATTACTCTCTGAAATAACTATCTGTAAAACTGTTAAAACGATGCCCCTAAACTGCGTTCAGTTAGGAAAACATTTTGAAAATGACTCAAAGCAATTTATTGTTTTGTACTGAAGAGGTTATGTCATATATAAAAGGTTCAAAAAGAAAATGTTGTTTTAAAACTGTTTTATTATATTATTTCTAGTGAGTAAAGTTGAACTAGCTGATAAAGAATCCAGTACAACTGGTGGTTTCTCCTATAATAAACCTGCATCTGGTAAAGAAAAGAAAACATTACAAGATGTTAAAACACATTTCTATGTTGCTACAGAGGTAAATAGAGTAAATAAAACCTTATTAAAATCACAAGGAGTTCTGAAAAAATTGTCCCCATTGTACTCTGTATAGCTTTGTCACTCTATTGTGCAAAATAGAGGGTTTTAAAACAATTTAAGTGAAGTTACATTTTAAGATCTTGGTTTGACAATGTTTCTTGAACATTCAATCCCAGTTTTCCTAATTTTGTTTTGTTCGTATGATTATGCGTTTCATCATTACTCTGTGCAAGCGGCCCAGATTATACATATATTTTACTAAATTTTGGAAATTTTATTCTTATACCATGCCATCATTGTTTTGACAAGTGTTTCCATCAGGAGTATATCTACATGACTTTGTGATTTTATTATCAGGATGGGGAAGTAGTATATGTTGATTGGATGCCTCAAAAAGATCAAGATACAGGAAAAATACAAAGTAAGTTTTTCTAAGAAAATACATTCTTGAAACTTTTTTTCCATCGCTAAAAGAGAACAAGCTTGATCAAAAACTTGTTAATTTTCTGTGATGTTGAATTTCGAACAATTTGATTATTTATAATACTGGTACTATCTTTCAGCTCCTAAACCTGATTACTATCATACTATACATGATGGACCAGTTTCTACTCTACAAAGATCACCATTCTTTAAAGATATAGTATTATCTATTGGAGGATGGACATTGGCTATCTGGAAGGAAGGCGTGACTGTAAGTTAAAGTTTATGTTAAGATGGAAGGCCAGTAAATTGTGCAAAGAAAGGAGGCATCCATAACATCAAACACAATTCAGATTTGGCAAAATTAAGGCTTTTGCACCATGTTATTTTGAAGTTTTTAGGGTGCCTAACAGGGTGCATCTTAATCGAGGACCACATAACAGTAAAATACCTTACCCTTAATGTCTTATGTGAATGATAGCAATATCGAAAGTTGGTTAAATGACTAAATAATGAATAAAATTAATATTCGTAACATATTTAGATACCAATGTCCAATGTACCATTCCAATTTCAGTCTGGACCTATTTTACATTCCTGTGCTGATAATATAAGGTTAACTGGTGGACACTGGTCACCATCAAGACCAGGAGTGTTTTTTGTTGCTAAAGCTGATGGAAGTGTTGATGTTTGGGATTTATTAGATAAAACACATGAAGCATCAATGAATCAGAGTATCTCAGCTACAGCAATAACTACATTATTTCCTCATCAGGTTACCCGTAAGTATAGTCTAACAAAGATCTTTATACACATCTGTGTGAGGACGATTCAAAACATAAACAAGTTCTCTTACTTTGAGATAAAATAGAAAGAAATTGAACTATACAATCCAGATTTATATGGTATTCATTAGTCAATATATTTGTTGATTTTCTGAATTTAGAAAAACATCACGTATTCTTCACTTAAAAATTGTTAATTTTATACATTCTTAGATATATTTCTGATATCGATCTAATCTGCTCTGGAAGCATATGTTATCTTGCCTGGCAAGATTTGTCACCTATTATTATTTGCATTTTTTACCTTGAATAAATTATTTATTTTCCAGAAAAACAACAATTATTAGCTGTAGGAGATAATTCTGGTACATTACATATCTTGGAAATACCATGGAGTTTACGCCATCCTACTAACAATGAGGTAATTTTGAATTACAATTCAATCAATTTAGATTTTTGGTGGGATATTTCTCTTGTAAGACATGAAAACCAGAGGTATGTGACGTTCATCATTCCGACATTTGGTTTTCAAGGGGTTCTGTGATCATCACTTCAAAGGATAATCTTTTAACAATTTGTTCAACAATTTTGTTTTAACTATTTCAGCAAGTCGGAGTTTATAACTATTTTGAAAGAGAAATTAAAAGAAGAGGTTTTGTTGTGGAACGTTGGGATTTTAGAGAAAAGGAGAAAAGAGAAATAGAAGCTGAAGCTAAGAGAAAAGCAGGAGTAAGTACAAATGTAGATAAATTACATATTGTCTTAGAAATATTACAACAGAACCTGAAACATGTTGTTTCTCAGAGTTTCACCTTGTGCAATCCTCAGAAAACTCACCTTATATTGAATAAACTAATGAGGTTCGACAATTAGTACTCGTGTCTGTACTTGGAGACAAGTTCAGATAGTTTGTTTTAAGAAATGTGCTTTTTTTGCTGAAATGATGTTTTTACACAGATTCTTTGCAATTTATTTGTGACATCCATTGGCTTGTTTTAGATTGCACCAAATGTGGTATTAACAGATGAAGAAATAGAAATCAAACAGAAAATTGAATATCAGAATTATTTGGATGAAGAAGCCTCATTTCTACGAGAACTAGGTTTATTGAAAGAAGAAGCTGAACCTTTACCTGAAATATAATATTTATAACTGTGATAATTTATTCATTTGTAGATTAACTTTGAATCATCTGTAATGTTTGTTATGTTACCTGTATTTATTTATATTTTTATTCATTAAAGCATATTGATAATATTTACTTGAAAAGTTAGTTATAGATTACTGTGTGAGAGTAAAGTGATTTTCTTGTCATGTGTATTGTGGACACTGAAACCATCAATTTGCAACATTCAAATCTTTAATCAGACGTCTGTGGTTCTTGCATTAATGGTAATGTTATACAAGGCCTTTTTGGTGTTGAATTCCAAGAATCCAGACATCTGACTGAAAAAAGTTGTTGCCAAAAAAGGTGCCATCTGGTCAAAATGCATGACTCACAACTATTCTTGTAATATATTTTGAGTGATTTAATACTTCTTTACCGTCCAAAGATCAATGGAAGGTTTGGAAAGCTTCAATAAATCGTGCAGATAAAAATGCCGTCAACCAGAATGATGAAATGGATAAACTGAATGAAAAGCCATTAACTCTATGTGCTAGATTTGCTCATTACTGATTACTATTTGAACTATTATCTGAAAATTAACTGGACTGTTTGTGTTTTGAATTTGAACCAGATGTGCAGGAATATAGACAAGCTAAGATATTTTGCACATTCTGGTCTACTAAGAGCAATAAACAGTTCTCTTTATTTTGTGAAGAATTAATAGTAGTAGAAACTATGCAGAATAAACTTACAGGGACAGTAAGGCCATTTTCTTGACCAATCATACTTTTAGTCTCAGAAACAGGAATTGTTTTTTAGCTGAGCTAATCAGTAATAGTGTTCACAGCTTCAAATCCATGTGTGTCCAGAATTATCTGCGTTTGAATGTTACAATGACGACTTGCAATTTAAGATGCACTTTGATATATATAGAAATAGTGAGAAAAATTCCTAGTTTGAATTATGTGATTTTCGTACATTAATAGTACTTCGGAGGACTATTTACAAATATTCAAGACTAAAATCAGCCCCCTTAAGGTTCCCTTTCACTATAGTGATTACCAGTTGTGTATGGTTGGGAGTAATGAAAAAGGTCATGAGTACTCAATGCAACTCATAAAATGTCTCGATGTCTGATTTATTAATGATAAACATGATTTTATTTTAAGAATGTACAATAAGTGAAATGAATAATATTAATCATTGTCCTTGTCTCTTCCTCTATCACGATCTCTATCACGATCTCTATCTCCTCCTTTCTTTCTATCACCATCTTTCTTAGCTGTAATAAAAAAAATACATCAAAATTTAATCATGGTACTAAAAATGTTATTGTTTTAAGTCTCCATTCCACAGAATATTTTATAATCAAATTTCATTCAAGTTTAATATATTTTTACGTTTTCCCATAATTTATGATTGTTAGATTTCTTGTTACTCAGATCAGAGATAAAATGTAAACATATTGTTTGAAAATAATAACCTACGTCTTCAAGGACCCTGTCTACCAGCTGGTTAATAACAAAATATACTTAGCAAAAGTCTTTTTCAGATAATCCAAGCACTTTAACAACTAAGAAAATACTTGAGTTTTCTCAATGAGAGGACATTTTTAATATTCAGCCAAGAAATAAATACAATCTTTCCCAAACATGTTGGTTCATCACTGCTCAATTAAATCTCCAGATATCAATTCACCATTAACTTACCATCTCTCATTTCATCTCTGGCTCTCATTCTCTGTACATAACCTTTAGCTTTATTTTTACGGAAAGCTTCAAATGGATCAGCATAGTCTTGAACACCGATGCCTTTAAACATATCTTGTTTTTCTCTCACTTCAGCAGCTTCAACAGGATCTAGTCTACCTTGTTCTGATAAACCTAAACCTTTTCCTCCCCATCCTACAATATATAACCATGGATTTTCTAAAGGGATGTTTATTATGAACAAAATAAACAAATACCTATATTTTCTTCATCCATTTTAGAAATATTAAAACAAACTTGAAAGATCTATAGACAAAGGAAGCAATTCAGCCTGTTTCTGTATTATGGAACTTTGTATTCTGTTTTATCATTTGTGCTACAATTAATTAGCTAATTAATGCACTATTCCAGTAGTTATCAATTCAAAATAATTGCTGGATGACTAATGAGAAATTAGGCCACATACCCATTTTTAACATTAATTGATGGCCTTTATTACCACTAGATTGAGGCATAGACATATCTGGTTGAGGAGCTGCACCACCAAAACCCCTGAAAAACATAAGATATAAACCTTAAAAATTCAAAATATCCTCTTGATATCAAGGTTATATTACATTTTAACTCATGTCTGATAAACTTGGGTCTTTTTCAAAAAAGATTAATTCTAAAGCTCTGTTAATCATCCAGTGTAATTTTCAGTCTATTTTCACCACTATCTTAAAGTAGTGAAGTTATCAATAACATGTCTCTGAGGTCATTTTTCAAAGAAAAAATAACTTGCCACCATTTCAGTATTCCAGTCATCTGATTGGATAATCACAAAGAAGAGCTAGCCATACAGATTAATGTATTTCTTAAAATATCAATTATATCTTTCGGATATGTTTTGCCTCAAATGAAATTAAATGAATGGAGTTTTACATTCTACTGTTTTGCCTCAAGGTTATAACACCATAATCACCATAAATCAAACAAGATTTTTGTAGACAGGCTGCACACAGAATATTTGCATTGACAAAGTACATATTATGTTCAAAAGATCAAGTATAAATTGCAAATGACCTAAGTTGGTTACATGAAAATAATTTATATTGATGAAGTATTAAGTTCAACAGATCAAGCTTGAAGAGCATTATATTGAAGTAATCTTACATAGTAGAAGGTGGTGTAGGACTTCGAGATATAGATCTCTTCATCGTAACTGGTGATGGTGAACGACTACTAGGTTGATAAGGTAGTGGTGAATCATCAGTTCTACGTCTGGCAGGTGATGGTGATCTAGATCTAGATCTTTCTCGGAATCTATCTGGTGACTTTGACCTTGGTCTGAATCTGTCAGGTGATCTTGATCTCTCTCCAGAAGGTGAACTGTATCTTTGACGTTCTCTGGATCTGAAAGTGGAAGAAAATAAAAGCTACTTTGCGATCAGATTAAACAATTTTTTATTGCGTCTACAAAATACATTCCTGTAAAATTTGAATGATCGTTTGAAATTTTGAGTTTTACATCCTCTTTTTACTGTTACTGGGATGGGCCCTTCAGACAGAGCTCGCCTTTGTTAGTTATGCAGCTTTGAGAAAGCAACTTGAAACAAAGCGCAAGGGTCACATTGCAATGTGCATGGCATTTCAGATCTTCATTTGCCCAGTCAGAAGCATAACAGCCGGTTGTTTAAAGTCATTTATTTTTCATTTCCACACACTAAAGAGTGATATTTTGTCAGGACAGTAGCATTAGTTCTAGATCTCAAATTTAGCTAACAGCTTACCTAGATCTACTACGACCATCTCTATATTTACGTCTAGGAGGAGGAGATGGGGATCTTCTGGGAGGTGGAGGTGAAGGTTCAGGCGATCGTGAGCGACCTCTAAACTCTGAACGACCCCATCTCATATCAGCATCCCTCTCTTCTTTCATTTTCTTACATCGATGTTTGGCTTTGAAAAATTCGTATAAACCTAACTTCTCCCAGCCATCTCTAAAAATAGGAAATATGAAAAAAAAATCAAGGTAAATGAATGGCAAAAAGTATGAAATTTGATGAATCCTATATTCTTATGACTAATTGCTCCATACTGAACTTGTGATGTTTAATTTTCATTTTATGCTGTGTCACAGATATACTAAGACAATTTGGTGGTAAATATAAGATAATAATGCTTGAATTACGTGTCTCTTGGTCTATCATGAGAGGGAGGACCATAAAATGCCTCTACAGCAGCTAATAATCTATCTGTTGGTGGCATTGGTGGTGGTAGACGTATATCTCTAGGATTTAATGGTTTATAATCTGTTTCTTCTAACTGAAAAATTACAAACTATCAATAACCAAGGAGTCAATGGATCAATGCATAGATTATTGAATGCTTATAACCTTTTAGTGATTGCCCATACAGGCTCTGCATGTTGAAGATCCCTCTACAGATGGAAATATAAAAAAGGATGGTGCATGCCCAAATCCTGAGATTTCCAGTGAAGAAAATGTACAAACCTGTACTAAAGGTGCCATTAAACCAGCTGGTAATTCGTAATAAGGAACTGAGGGTGTTAAATCTATTTCCATCTGCATTGGTTGTTGAGAGGAAGGGGGCATGTGCCCTGGTGGTCCACCTGGACTAGGAGGAATCGGAGGACCATGAGTACCAGGAGGAGGAGCAGCAGGAAATCCTGGTGGAGGTCGACTTAAATCCGGTACAAATGGTATTTGGCCTGGTGCAACAGTCGGAGGTTGCTGACTAGCACCACCTGGTGGAAATCCTAAAATAGAGGTAAAACTGTATAAATTTCTGGAAACCATGTTATATTTTTATTTGAGATCCAAATTTTCCTTTCACTGCAGATTTCCAATTGACTCAAATTACATTGTTACATTAAATTTTTATTGTATTCTTATTGATATGAAAACTTTTCTAGATTCATTGCATTTCATTTTCTATTCCAAAAGAGAAACCTTTTTTCTTAGTAAATATGTGAAGCGAATATCAAGTGGACATTAGTTTCAGATCATTTTATTTTTTACCTGGACCTTGAAAGTCTGGTGGTGGTCTACTGAAGTCAGGAGGAGGACGAGATAAATCTGGTGGTGCTAGGAGATGAGGTGGTGGAGCAGCAGCTGTATTAGGAGGTTGAGTTGGTGGTGTTGGATGAGGCTGACTGAAACGACTAAATCTTCTTGGTTGACTCTGGGGAAAAAATGATAAAACCAAATCAAATTCATTGAAAACTTGTTCTAGTAATATAAGCATAATGCATTTTAAACTCAATAAGTTTATCTAACAAAATTCAGAGTTTGAACTTTTCAATGTCACAATTAAAATAAGTTTCATACATCATAATTGAAGGTACAGATTAGGCAAGGTGCAACATCATGCTAAAAAATCATTCCTTCCAACTTCAACGACCTATAGTTGGATAGAACTCTCCACCCTCAGGTAAGCAAGTAAGGTACCGCAGCTCAAAAACACTTCGAAAGTTACCATGGCAATGTATCATGAAAGGCTATAATATACATAATAGTAAACTTACAACAGCTGTAGGTATCTGTTGAACATCTTCCATTTTGTCTACATTTGATTTATCTATACCAGAATTAACTACTGATATTGGTGAGGGGGGTTCACTACTAAATCCTAATAAAATACAATAAAATGATACAAGAGTGGTCTGGTATATCAGCAAAATAATGGAAGTTACTTCCCTTTAATGGCAGTATTCAAAAGTGGAGATGAACAACTTTCAGAAGTTACTCTAAACAGATATGATTCTGACAACAGTTCTTAAGAAAGAAACATATATTTTTTATTTCACGAGGATCCTTTCTACCAATTAGCCCTCGGCCAAATCCCATAGCATTGATCTTTCCCAAATCATTCACATATTACAGGAAGAATAATGAGGATACTTATTCAAGGTCAACAGACTTTTACACGCCAATCCAGATTAGAATAAAAAAAAATCTGTACAATCAAACCAATTCATAAGAATTCTAGTTTAATAAAAAACTTACTAGAGGGTGGTCTAGCCTGAGCTTGAGCCTGTATTTGATTAGCTTTCTGTTGAACTAATGCTTGTAGCTGTGTCTGTAAGACTTGGATCTGATTATTGAGATGGGTAACAAATTCTTGATGTTGGTTTTGTAGTTGGTTATATTGTGTTTGTACTCCCAGAGTTAATACAGATACTTCATCTTTATATTCATTCATCAAGTTAGTCTGAAATAAGTCAGCAGGTATTTCTGTTACAGCTAATCTTTAATTTCCAACCATGTATTTACACTTTGCATATTAAAAGCCAAACAGTGAAGCTTTCTGGATTTACTAGTACTACAAACATCAGAAGGCAAATTGGAAAGATGCAAATCGAATCTATAGATATAATAATACAGTGAACTAAAAAGCCCATTTAAGACATAAAATTTACCTTGTAAGAAACCAAAGAAGGACCAGGATTCTTCAACAACTGAAATGAATAAAAAAGAACGTTGAGCATAAAGATGTCTTTCTATATCATTTCATTTTGTTCATTGATGAAACCAAATGTACTATTTGCAACATGAAACCAGTTTTTCATCCTTAAGACTTGAACTGCAACAAGGAGAAACTTGGTTTTAATATCTAATAGAATTCACCATCACATGTAATACCAGCCGTTACAAGCAACTAAATATATTAAATAACGGAACACAATTTTATGGTATACTACTGCTTAGTTTTATTAAATATATGAGCCCCTCTATTTTAGGATTACTAATAAAAATACAACCTACCTCTATAGTATCAGCATTGAAATAATTATGTCTGTCCCACAGATTTAACAACTAAAATAATATAATATAGAGAATTTGTTATCCATAAACTATTTGCTTCTCATTCAGAAGAACTTGTTACCTATTGTAAAAACTTTACAAGACTTATGATCCATAATTTTAGTCAATTAGTCAAGCAGTACTCACCTTTAGTAATTTTTCTTTACCTTTCTCATCACAATCTTTTATTGTGGTACAAAATGTTGGTACTACAATCTTCTCTATATTTACTTTCAAATCATTGTGGCCTTTTCTCATACTGTAAATATATTGAAAACCAGACATCAAACATAGTTAGCTATTGGGCTAACTGTCAACTATTTTTTCTGGGCATCCAAAATGTTCCTTACGATCCAAGGTACTAGAATTTCATGGGTAAGAAGGAATGACTTGGGATAAATATGTTAGGCCTGTACCAGTTGATTTGACTATATTTGTTTACTGTTTACCATTCACGACCCCTTAACAGAAAGTGGGTAATATAATCTGATCCATCAAATCACTGCAGTTTTTTTCAAAAGTTCCTCAAATAGCAAGTCAATGGCAGACTTTATCAGTTAAATACTGAGTTATCAAACCTGGAGAAACAACTGTTGGTGAAAATTATACAATTAAACATAAACTTGCTATAAATTCATAACTTACCAATGATGTAACAAATCATTCATTAAATATATCAGATGCAGACGGACTGAAAACTGGCTATCTGGACCAATAATTCTAAAATAAAACAAATTCAAATTGTGCTACTTTCAAACTTTCAAATCCAGTATCAAAGAGATAGTACAGTAACATTGTCATAGCCACTATGGTTTTCTTATATTTTGTTGTTTTAATGGGAAAAACCTCTTTCAAAAAGTTTCTGAGAGAATTGCTTGCTTACCTTTTTAATATATATTGTGTTATAAGTTCACAATGTTGAAATGACATACTCTTCTGCATGATCCAATTCTTACAATTCTACAAATAAAGATCAGTTTGATGATTTGTAACATAATACAAAATATTGTTGGTGAGAACATCAAGTTTGATTGGATTCCTTACATCATAATTTGACTAATAAAAAGCATCAACTTGTAACTTTTGAACAAAACTGGATTAATTAAGGGCATGCATCAAGATTGTAATAATATATGGTACAAAAGATACATACCAATATACCATCTTTAGTACAAGAATCAATAATAGGTTGTACTGCTCTATCTAATTCTTCTACAGGTAACTCACAATCTACAGCTAATTGTTGTAGTCTGCTTTCTTTAGCATTCTTAATACACTGGTCTATCTGAGGCTATACAATAAAAAAATTGAGATATATTTAACTGATCTGGTCTGATTAACAAAAATAAAAAGCCAACGCACATAATATTTCAGAATTCAATAAAAGTGAAAAGGCATTTTAAAACAGTTGATCGGGAAGATATTTAGTCAACTAGAAATCAAGGTGCATATGTGTGGAACAGAATTATTTCAAACAAACTCAGATGACTATAACATTCATATTATACCTACCCCCTGTTGTTGTATCATATTCTGATATTGAGCCGCTAAGTTACTCTCACTCTGTCTAATCTGTTCATCTTTACTTTTCTGTAATTTACTAAGATTCTGTTGTAATGCTGTTATCTGCTGCTCTAATGTACCAGTAGCAGGTGGTGCACAAGGTATCAGTGGTGCTGTTGATGGTTGTTGAACTCCTGGTTGTGTTGGAGCTGGTTGAGATGGTTGTTGAGATAATACAGGGTTGAGTTGTACACCTGGTGGTGGAGGTCCTGTTTGAGGTAAGATACCTAGAGGACCACTGCCTGGTACTGACTGCCATGATGGTGGAGCTACTTGAGATAATGATTGCTGTTGTTGCTGTTGTTTTATCACTGTAATAAAATATCATCAGGAATAAACATATCAACCATTTAAATAGTTCACATCCACCATGATCTTTCAAAAGATATTTCAATCAATATTTCTAATGAGAAATCCTATGTTAAAAAATACACTTCAAATGAAACAATTCGGTCAAAAGATTTTATCAGAAGCTATTTTTCAGCTTTCAGTTTTTAAAGCTTAATTCATACTAAACTCTCGAAAAAAAACAAAAACCCTCAGGAAAAATAAACACTGGCAAAAAAATCACAACACAATAACTTACCAGCTTGCTCCGAGGTGACTTTATACTGATAATAGTTAAAAAATTCACCACCAAATAAAAATTGAAATCTTGGGTTATCTTTCTGTTTAGATTTGGTCATAAGTTCAAATTCTGGTCCATTTCGAGCTACAAAATTAGCCAATTTGTTTATAATGTTTCTCTGTTCTATATCTGAAATATAAAAAATTTTATTACGAGACCAAGACATGACAAATTGGCAACATAAAATGAGCTCTTTTCAATTTGATATGAGTTGTTAGTGTTTATACCAAAGGAGATTCTCATTGTTGACTTCTCATTCCTGTTCAGTAAATTCTGTACAGTGCAAAATCTACTTAAACCTATAACAATATGAATTTTTGTGAGAAATTAAGGTTATTTCATGTTTGGTCAAATCAAATGCATGTACCCTAAAATACAAAAAAGCTCAGTCGGAAGTGAGTCATCGGCTAGGCTGGCTAGGTGCTGTGGGTTTGAATCCTCCTCAGTGTACGAAAAATTCTTATGCCTGTGCAAGTGCTATTGAGAGTTGACCCTGTGTAGACTCTTACTCTCTAATACACAATATAAAAAAATCTTTTCTTTTTGGTCAGAATCAAAGTTTGTCAGTTACAAAAATATAACATTATGGAAATTATTTAAGAGCAATAACTACTTCAGGTTTACTTTTTGAGCCAATTTTGTTGACAATTGTTTTATATGTTACAGAGTAATAAGGCAGGATGCTTTTAGATAAAAATTACAATTTTTTGAAATATGAAAATCGCAATTTGAATCATGGAAATAGTTCAAGGCTTTCTGCAGGCTACCAATGTAAGAAATGTATAATCAAATGTTATATATTAATCAATCAATTAATGACAAGATAAGTCTAATTACTATGTTTTTTACATTAAATAAACATAATATCAATCAAATTAATCATACCAACTGCCACCTAATTTTCAAGGCTATTAAAAGGAATACATTTTCTTTGAATGATAAAATGATGTTTATCTAGAGAGTCAATGCTGGACATACACACGCAACACTGTAATATATTGTACTATGAGGAAAAAGTGACTCCAAACACAAGCTAAAGAATAAGTCCATGAAAATATTTTAATTAGGATAAGAAATAAATGGACAAAACATATGTAAAATTCAATCTGCTAAAATTGCAATTCTGTTTGTCTTATATTTGTCATGATTTGGAAAGAATAAAATGAAGGAGAAAAAGTTGTCATGTATTTATTATTATTATCTCATTCTAGCTTTTTCATACAAAGAACAATAAAGTGAAATATAGTTCAAGTATGTACTACAGATAGGGCTGGGTGTTGATTAGCAAATTGAGATTGATTATCGATGGCAGACAACCGATGAATTATCGATTAATAATCAAAATAATTCAATTGAGAAACCCTGTAAATACTAAATTAAAACCATGCTAAAATTCTTGATATCATGAGTCATGAGATTGGGTATTATAGTTTATTGTGGGTATGTTATGTGCTGAAGGGAAACTATGTAGAAGAGATTACATCTTTTTTATGCATACAGTGGAGAAAATATATCTTTGTTGACAATCGATTATGAAATTTGATATTCAATACCCGGCACTTAAAATTATAAATTCTTAGCGATGATAATTGATGATCTTGATCATTTTACCCAGACCTAAATGCAGGATGTGTCATTATGTCAGTCCAACCGTTTCTTATATGACAAATATATTCTATCAATATACCAATATAATACTTTGGGAAAACCCAGTCATGTGACTTTGTGACTCAAACATTTTGTTGATCAATACCGTACAAATAAGACATAGTCATTGACTTGATCTAGTATGGTATATAAGACTGCATAACAAACTAGATCTAGATTAAGACAGAGATTAACTGTTAGTAAATGAAATCATATCAGAGTAAATGTTGTCAGTGTGTGTGTGGAGATCAGTGACTCACTTTCAAATGGTTTTCTACCAATGTCCCATTATATCATGTCACTAAATCAATCTATGGAGGATCTATAAATAGTATCAAAAGCAGATTAACTAATGAATAGTATTTACTATAATTCCACCACTTTACAACCTCTAGAACATTCTAATACTACTCACTACACCTTATAAATTAACTGACCATTACCAATATCACCAATTTTTATACTGTTACCCAGTGTGATAACTTCGATGTTTTTATTCTTTTTTTATTCTCTTTTTAAATCATATATTGATCTTAATCTACAACCAATATGTTGGATATGGTAATGAATTCCAAATCAAAGTTAAAGTTTCAGGTATTGTCATATCTTCTTTCTATCTATCTATCTAACATAACAAATGATCCTGTAATCTTTCGAAGTAATGCATCCGGTTTTTCACAATGAGCTCCATTTTTCACTGGTGCAAGTTGGATTGACTGACATAGAAAAGGGATGATCCACTTAATTCATACAGGATACAGACTACTATGCTATTACAGCACATTAAACTGTATCTCATTGAGTTATTAATGAAGGGAACAAAATTGCTAAATTTATGTAAGCTTATTTCAAAACAAATGTGAAAAAAAATTGTTTGGCACAGTCTGGCATTAACTTGTGCAATTACGGAACATCTTCAAATCTTTTCTTTAAAAAAAAATTTGATAAATTCTTGAAAGCTATTAGTACAAGTATGCAAATGCCTGTTTGCCTTATGAACTATATGCCCTGTCGATGAGTCTATGACTATAGAATGTTTCGTAATATTCAAAATTGAGATAGACACCTGTCTGTTCACAGACTAGTCAAAGGAAGTCAAAGCGGTCAAATAACTCTTCCAATATCCTGTTAAAATATATATATAATACTGGTACTTGTTCATACTAATACTATTATCAACCAACTAACTGGACATGAAGGTAAATTTAATTACTCCATCTCGATCAACTTACATTTCAAGTTTTGGAAAACAATTAATATAAAAGGACTAAGCTTACACAAAATAGACTGCAAGAATACAAAATTTTTGCCTTTCATGTGAACAGAATATTTTCTAATAATGCAAAGAATTGGAATTCAATTTCTGAAAAGAAAGATGAAGGGTTATAATATTCAAATCATGACTAATTTTATATTATGAATAAGACTTGTTTTCAGAAAAAAATTATCATTTCTTGATACACCAGAATCTCTGCAATTCCAATTTTCATACAGAATATTACTGGTGAACGATAACCAAGAATTAGAATGAGGGGCCCTGATATTCCCATTAAAATCTTTGGAATGTTGCATAGAATCAAAAATATGTAAGATTGCCAAACCATTTGCTTCACTTCCAGGAACAGGGCCTTGTTGAAATTCTTGTGGACAATATAAAATATATCAACACACTTTTCTCTATTTTATTCACCTTACCTGAACCACTAATAGAGGGAAATCATGTTGATTAATCTAAAGAATAAGAACTGTCCTAATTGATCTATCTGTCAGAACCAAACCCCAAACCTCAAGGACCCAGGTTTTCGTCCATACCATCTGTGGTCTCCATAACATAACATAATTTTAACTGTATCTTACTCTCAGTAAGTAGGCCTACCTATTACTGAAGTGAATTTTGGCAATCGTATCTGTATATGAATTGAAATATCAATTACAAATTACTACAGAGAGTCTTGCATTTGAATATTTATGAAATGAGAGAAAACAAAAATGAATTCAATTCAATGTAGTCAGAGAGATTAGGTAGTTTATAATGAAATTGTGCCATCTTATGACTTACATAATCATATTATTATATATGGCAGTAGATCTACTCTGTGCTGTATTATGTAATTATGTATGGACTGTTTGTAATGACTGAAAGTGTCACTGTTGTTGAGTGTTGTACTTTGTAGCTCACTCGCCTACTGTGTTTCCCAATCAGTCAACTCAACGATATTGATACTGGTGATAGGCTAATCTAATGTAAATAATGGCAGATGCATTGTCCAAATCAAATATTACAACCTTGTCAATCGGATTTTCACCAAGCATGAAGGCAAATGAAAGACAATATAGATAAAATGAATATATTCTAGAATACTAACCATCAGGTGGTTTTGGGAGATCCATTTTTAGTGTTTTTGCCAAATTTCACGTTTTTTTCTCAGTTTATCAATTTATTGTGCCTTGCTTATCCAGACATTTTCTAACTTCCGGATGCGAAACGAATAATTCTTTTCACAACATCTTTATAATTTCTATACCGAATTTCTCAGTGACATTTTTTAAAATCTAGTTCACACAAAAAAATAAAAATCAAAATGAAATAATTATAAATCTGACTAATGAATATTATACCAAAATAAAGGTAAACAATTTGTCTGCACCTAATTTGAATAAATAAAGCAGGTTAATGTATGCAGCCTCGTTTTTAGTTATCTCAGTCGGAGGCCTGAAAAAGAAAAGAAATGGAGACATTGACTCGCAATGTAGAGTAAAAGGACAAAAATCTTGAACAGTTTGCAATGGTAGGTGATGAATTTATTATAATTTGTTGCATGAATGTTTCTGGAACATAATGCAGTAACTGCCACGTAGTATTATGAGCTGTCTTGCATGATAATTTCATTAGAAAATAGAAGGTAGGGAATAAAATGATGTAAACATTGTCCACGCCACAACATAAACAGAATTTGATTGGTTGAAATATGAGGTCAAGGGTTCAAAGTATATTATCAGAAACATGAGTCATCTCCACGTCGCGTGCTGATGTTATGGTTGATATAAAAGCTATGTGAGAGCTGCGTTTTCTGTCATAGGGAAATCATTTGAACAATGGTCTAGATTGATGTTAAAGTAAGAAAGAAGCCGTTCGGCCTGTGTGATAAGGATTGTATGATAGGATAAAGGAACGATTTGTGCATTTGAGATAATTTGCCTTTGTTTTATTCATTTATAATAAAACATAAGTGTGATAATTAGGATTTTTTAGCTGTCATCTGTTTTAAAACAACGGTTGAATTAACTAAAAGATACAAATTACAATGAAAATGGTAAGAATATTAATATTTATAATTTAACAAGAAAAAACAAAGCTTATTAATCTTTAAATAGTTAACATTACACCTAGGCGTTATCAAATGAAATTAAACTTGTAAATCCTGTCTTTTATTGCCGTCAAAGAAACATCAGACTTAAAGGCAGGTCCGTTATCAACAATAACATAGCTGTTACTATTTTTAGATGACTTGGGCTTATCTCACTCTCAGTTTCGATGGCCATTCATATTCACAATATTCTGTCTTTTTGCTCTCTGATTTTTCTAAAATGATTCTAAATGTTAAGATATCGAAAAAGAAAGTTGATCAATAAATCTGACAAACATTGGTTTGATGTCAATTTTAATTGAAAAATATTTTTAGAACAGATGATATCAGATCAATATTGACTAGAACTATAGTATAATGTAATCTGACGTCATATCTAAATATCATTAAATATTTGTTTTGATTTCACTTAATCTACATTTATTGAAAGTGTCATGCTGATGGCAACATTTAAAATTTGTAAATAGAGTTTAAGTTCTTTGTCCTTTTTGAAATTCTCTCATATCTTTCTAAATGTCAGTTTAACCTTAGAAAATTCTAGTATCTATATGACAATGATAATTCTGCAGTACTGGGAAAACTTGAATCCTTAAACTTGGGTGTCTTGCCATATTGTTTAATTCTGCATGACAATATCGATCTTTGGAAATTAAAAAAAAATTAGATTGAAAGTTTGATTGGAAAATTCCAATGATGTAATAATGTTAAAATAAGTTAAGGTCCTGGATCTAAGAAAAGATCGGCAACGGATCACAAAGAGCCGCTGTTTAGTGCACACTTGTAGGGTATTTCTTTTGGCGTTTTGCCAGCAGCGCATTATTATTGTCAATAATGCTCTTCTATATTTGATATTCCATGTTAAAAGTACTTAATGGATGAGCGTATATGATTAAGAATAGTGTGATATGAGGCATGCAGTTATTTATTGGTCATATGACTAGTGATCTAGAATATAACCAATCATAAATAAACATTACATCATACCAATATAACCTGACATAAATATCAACCAATAGAATTGTTTGTTTGGATATTCTGGCTGCAGCTATTTCACGTTACTTGTTGAAGAAAGAAGCCGGTCACAAGTGAAGCGTTGCAAATTGTTTAATTCCTATATAATACAGTAATTAACACCTAAAACCGATTGTGCATTAGTCATTAGCGGTGTATTGTAATGCTTTCTACCTCCTTGCAGTTCTATGACAATTGGCTGCACTTTACTGTTTTGAAAAGGTATTTTAATTACTCGATTCATTGACTTAATTTTGAAAGTGTCAATGTCAATATTTACTTCAAATGACCTTGTTATATCTTGTTCTGTAGCGCTATCCATTGTTATCAATTAGACCGTTTCTTATCTCCTGAATTAGGATATTTTCCAGCTGTTCTATTGATAATTACCGACATGGTATAAATTTAGACAAACTGCTAACGTTGTCATTTTCCAACTAGATTTGTCCGTGAGCAAGTAGCCTAGTACTTGCGGCCTTGACTTGGACGCTATTGTTAGTGTCCTCACATACATAAGTGCTATTTTAAGGTAGTCGGGTGACATACCTTGACGATAGTCATCTATTATCATTGATTATTATATTTATTGAAAAGGAATTTCTGTTGTTTACATCATCAAAATGAAACTAACAAATACACAGGTGTGTTGTCATCATATTATTATTTACTGATGAACTGATCAATTATGCAATAATTCATTTCATATAAAAAATATATTAATAAAAGTAAACAACTGAATGTCATGTTTTAAATTTTGTATTTTCAGTTTGATGAAAAGATACCAACACGGCTGAGCCGACCCAACAGTTTGGAACTCGATAATTGTCTGACCATGGATAATGAATGTTTCTTCCCCGATTTTGTGAATAACAATACACCACCAGCACAACAGACAAGAAACCGAAAGAAAAAAAGGAGAGCTGCAGACATTCCTGTGAAAAGATTTAATGGTAGGTATTAAGAAATTTATTTTCCAGGATATATGCATTGTTGTTATTGGAATATATTCAATTGATACTGTTAACGTTTTCATGATTTTTTGGAAAAAAAAACACCTTTTGTCCAACATTTCATAAGACTTTTGTTTATTTATTTTCAGATTTATATGTGGCTACTGGGGAGGTATTAGGACATGGCGCTTATGCTGCAGTACAGACGTTTACAAACTTGGCTAACAAGAAAGAATATGCAGTAAAAGTTATAGAAAAGAAAAGCAGTTTATCTCGAAGTAAAGTCTTCAAAGAAATCGAAATCTTCCACACTTGCCAGGGTCATGAAAATATTCTCAACATGGTGGAATATTTTGAAGAAGAAGAATAGTCAGTATATTTATTACTTTTCATTGTGTAATCTTACTGTAAAGAAATTCATTGTGGAGAAAGAAATGTTAACATAACCTTTTCTGTGGCAATTTGCCAAATGTGTTATTTTTAACATACTGAGGTTTTGTTACAAATTAAAATATGAACTATTAAAAAGGAGGAAAACTAAAATAAACATTTTTACTACTTTCAGTTTTTATTTGGTATTTGAGAAAATGGAAGGTGGAACATTATTAGCCAATATTGAAAGACGAGGTCATCTAACAGAAAGAGAAGCTAGTTTGGTTATACGGGATATTGCTAAAGCCTTAGATTTTCTTCACATGAAAGGAATTGCTCATCGTGATCTCAAACCAGAAAATATTCTTTGTCTTAAGAAGGATCAGGTAAATACATATTTTACCGTTTTGTTTTTATCTCTAAATGGATCCTTGGACAAGCTGAACTTGTTTTTTTTTTTAGTTTTTAGAAGTGAAAGTACACAATTTGCTGTCTTTTGCACCGTTCATTTGAAACACAAATTATAATATTTCTATTTTATTATTATTTCAGATTGTTCCAGTTAAAATTTGTGATTTTGATTTAGCTAGTGGTGTACCATTATCTTCTGACCAAGATGCTGACAGTGTTAAAACACCAGAGTTACTAACACCAGTTGGTTCAGCGGAATACATGGCACCAGAGGTTGTGAATGCATGGATTGGTGAATCCTTCTCATACGACAAAAAATGTGATTTATGGAGTTTGGGAATCATATTGTAAGTATAAACTTATTACATAATATATCACTCAAGTAACATCCTGTTTCTTGTAAATTTGTTGTAATTATTGTCACCCAAAATGTCACTTAATACTGCACATCCTGTTATCTAATGTTTCTTTCCTTGTATGGAAATTTGTAAAATTTATACATTTTTTGTCAGAGAGTCAATAATATGTTAATTGGTATTTCAGGTATATTACATTATGTGGCTATCCTCCATTCTATGGTCAGTGTGGTGAAGACTGTGGATGGGAACGTGGTGAACCTTGTGGAGATTGTCAAGAAAGCCTCTTCTTAGGAATTCAACAAGGAACATTTGATTTCCCAGACACAGAATGGAGTTGTATTTCTGAGTCAGCTCGTGATCTGATCCGACACCTTCTGGTTAGAGATCCCAGATACAGATTCTCAGCACCTGAAGTTTTAGACCATCACTGGATATCCAAACCTCCAGCAGCTACTCCACTTGCTACTCCACAAGTGCTTACAAGGTATGTATTTTATTTCAAGACTTTTCTGCTTTGAAAATTGTTAGCTACGGGCAAATAGGTGCACCTGTTTTGCTTAAATACATTTTAAAGGATGAATGAACACTTTATCTGGTAACACACATCCAAATATTGACCAAATCATTTTCTCTACTTTCAGAAATAACAGTACCAAAGATTTGGAATCATTTGCCGAGACGGCTATATCAATGCACCGTATGATGCAACAACATATGATGATAAATGAAACACCAAGATTCTATGTTGGCGATGAACGGGATATCAGTGAGGAAGATGATGACAGTATTGACCCTGATGTATTTGATAACGCTATGAAATTATCACCACCTGGTAGTTCAAGTCTAGCCCAGAGACGTGTCGCCTTTCAAGATAAACACATGTTTGGTTCCAGTACCAGTGGTGATAGCGTGTCATTCCCTAGTTCTGGAAGTTGGTCATAAACTATCAAGATTATATGAAAACTACTAATAATATACAGCAAATCATATCTTCAAAAAATATTAACCAAGTCTTTCAAAAAGAAAAAAAATACCACATAATAAATAATGATAGGGAAAAAAAATATACTATATAATGGGCAGAGTTCAGTATTTTGTCATTGTTTATAGGAAAAAAACATGGCATTTTGTTCACCTCCATCATTTTTTATACTTTAATACTGCTTAAGTTTTCATTTCAAATTGTTTTCAGATGTTCATATCTTCAGTTGTTCATTATAATTTTTCATTAGGAGCAATATGGGTACTAATAACTGATGGTTGGGGAAAAAAAGAATCTAGTCTAGAGTGAGTCAACTTATTAAACGCTCCATCCTCTTCTCTATGAGAAGATCACATGTTATATAACATGCCTTTGTTGTTAGTTTATTCATAATTGTTATATCATATTTTTTGTTATTTTCATTTGAAATCCTCGTACAATCATCATCATAATCATCACATTCTTAAACCCCTTGAAAATGACGCAAAAAAAGCTTATCATTCAAGAATCGGAATCGAAATGAATCATTCCATGAAATTTATATATATTGTAAAAATAATATACTCAAGTATCATTTCCATCAAGTTTCATTGAAATCATATCAAAACTTTGTACTATGTCTCCTACTGGACTGTCAACAAAAATAATAGCTCAAAATCAGTAATAATATGTGAATATATAATTTACAGCAAAAATACAGCCATAATGAATGGAGTTGTAGAAGAAAGACCTTTGAATGGTGACTTTAACCTGAGAACAATAGAAATATTGTCTCAAATTAACTGTGATATGAATACGTGTATTTAATGCCAAACTAACAATGTGTTGTTACAACTAACATTATAATAGTGCTGATGTTGCATCAATCCAAGGAAAATGTGTGCCTTTAATAGATATTTCATAATAGAAATGTTGAAAAATGCGAGAATCTCGGAAATAGAATAAACCACAAGGTTTTATACTTTTCTATTTATATTCCAAAATAAATATTAAATCCCAAGTTTAAACTGAAATACAAATTTTTTGACAATTCCATATTATAAAATTCCATTATGTTCAGAATTTGTACAAATAGCATTTAAAGTGCAGCATGTACTGTTTCATCTGTTATCATTTCAATGTTTGTCATACTGTTGTAGAAAGATTGGGAGGTCAATCTGAAAATTATTTCGAAGTTCAGAATTCAAATATATTTGTACACCCTTATATTTTGATGAAATTATGTATATTTTCATACCGCTTCTCCCATTCTTTCTACTGTATTCGGATTTTAAGGGCATTTATATTAAAACAATACAAGTTGTAGATTGTCAATTGCTTTTTATGTTTTAATTAGGCTTGGTGTCCATTGACATAATTATGAATTAAGGAGAGCAATTGTACGAAATCTAATGCCCTATAATCTATTTTTGTTATTTTGAATCAAGGTGCTTTGTACCATGTTTTGAACTTGTGTTAGTGGCAATTGGCACATGTAAGACCATGGATATAAATTTAATTTTGTGCCAAGTTGAAATAATAACATGGAATAAACCTGGGACTACTGTAGTCCCAGAATTAAACCTTGTCCTACCGATCTCAGGGTATTTGATTTGTCACTTCCATGACATAATTAGATAAATCAATAGAAATCGGTGGCAAGTAATGTTTGAATTAAAGAATTTTAAGAAAGCGTTGTGAAATGTTCATAGCGAATAAAATGTTTTATTTTTTACAAGTTAAATAAGTTTTTCTTTTTGTGTTTATTGGATCCAGATCATCCAAGATCAAATCCTTAAACTTTCCTTGGGTAAAGCTACACCAGACATTAATTTTTACCCTTACCTGAAGAGGTGCTGACTATGCTGGTGGCTGTCTACCTTGATTACTGCTTTTATTGTCAAACAGAAAAAAAGAATAATGCACATTCTGACAGTGGCTCAACTACCATAGGGACTGGTTTAACCAAGTCCATGGCCCCCAAAAACCCGAGTAGGTCCCCACTCATCTTGTTCAGTCACTGCATTCTGACGAGCAATGGCTTTTCGGTAACAGTTGCCAAGATAATCTTGAGTATTTTGGATTGAAGTTGATAAGCCACAAAAGTGCTTTAAACACCCTTGAATATCTCAATCCCAATTTTCAACCAGACGAAATGAGGCAGAATTCATTCGTGCTTTTCCCGCATGATGATAGCTTCAGTGTGTCGGTATAACAGAATTATTATGCTCGCTATAACATTACTCTTGAAGACCGAAGTATTATATCTCATAATAATATTACTCTAGAAGACACAAGTATCATATCTCATGATAACATTACTCTAGAAGACATAAGTATCATATCTCATGATAACATTACTCTAGAAGACGCAAGGATTATATCTCACGATAACATTACTCTAGAAGACACAAGTATTATATCTCATGATAATAATACTCTGGAAGATACAAAGTATTATATCTCATGATGACATTACTCTAGAAGACGCAAGGATTATATCTCACGATAACATTACTCTAGAAGACACAAGTATTATATCTCATGATAACATTACTCTAGAAGACGCAAGTATTATATCTCATGATAACATTACTCTTGAAGACCGAAGTATTATATCTCATGATAATATTACTCTGGAAGACACAAGTATTATATCTCATGATAACATTAATCTAGAAGACACAAGTATTATATCTTATGATAACATTACTCTAGAAGACACAAGTATCATATCTTATAACATATACATTACTCAACAAAACAGAAGTATTGTATCTCATGATAAAATTACTCAAAAAAAAAGAAGTGATATGTCTCACGATAACATTCATCTAGAAGACACAAATGTTATATCTCATGATAACATTACTCTAGAAGACACAAGTATTATATCTCATGATAACATTACTCTAGAAGACACAAGTATTATATCTCATGATAACATTACTCTAGAAGACACAAGTGTTATATATCATGTTAACATTACTCTAGAAGACGCAAGGATTATATCTCACGATAACATTACTCTAGAAGACACAAGTATTATATCTCATGATAACATTACTCTAGAAGACACAAGTATTATATCTCATGATAACATTACTCTAGAAGACACAAGTGTTATATATCATGATAACATTACTCTAGAAGACACAAGTATTATATCTCATGATAACATTACTCTGGAAGACACAAGTATTATATCTCATGATAACATTACTCTAGAAGACACAAGTATTATATCTCATGATAACATTACTCTAGAAGACGCAAGGATTATATCTCACGATAACATTAATCTAGGAGACATAAGTATAATATCTTATAACATATGATAACATTACTCTAGAAGACACAAGTATCATATCTCATGATACCATTATTCTAGAAGACACAAGTATCATATCTCATGATAACATTACTCAAGAAGACACAAGTATTATATCTCATGATAACATTACTCTGGAAGACACAAATATTATATCTCATGATAACATTAATCTAGAAGACACAAGTATTATATCTCATGATAACATTACTCTAGAAGACACAAGTATCATATCTCATGATAACATTACTCTAGAAGACACAAGTATCATATCTTATAACATATGATAACATTATTCTATAAAACAGAATAATTGTATCTCATGATAAAATTACTCCAAAACAGAAGTGTTATGTCTCGTGATAACATGTTTCTATCAAACAAAAGAATAATATCTCACGATAACATTCATCTAGATGACATAATAACATTACTCTATTAAACAAAGTATTATATCTCGCGATAACATTACTCTATTAAACAAAGTATTATATCTCGCGATAACATTACTCTATTAAACAAAGTATTATATCTCGCGATAACATTACTCTATTAAACAAAGTATTATATCTCGCGATAACATTACTCTATTAAACAAAGTATTATATCTCGCGATAACATTACTCTATTAAACAAAGTATTATATCTCGCGATAACATTACTCTATTAAACAAAGTATTATATCTCGCGATAACAGTACTCTATAAAACAGAAGTATTGTATCTAATGATAACATTGCTCTTCAAAACAAGTATCCTGGGATAACATTAGTCTATAAAACATTATTATATAGTTACATTTTATAAAACAGAACATAACACAAGTATTATATCTCATAATAACATTACTCTATAAAACGAAAGTAATAACATTAGATTGCACCTTATTACGCTTTAAACCACAAGCATTGCAACTCATAAAACTATGTGCAAAAGAGGTATTCTATCCCTCTTATAAGCATTACTCTATCAAACGAAAGAGTTAATGATGCTGGCTCATGATAACATCTATAATGCAGAAGTATTGCATCTCATAACATTTCTTTATCAAAAAAAATTATTAATGATTATAAATGAAGAAGTATTGTATCTTATAACATTACTCTACAAAAACAAGTATTGTTTCTCACGTTAATATAATCTCATAACAATGTATACTACAGAATCTTCCTAAAACATTACTCATCTCATGATACAATTACTCTATAAAACATAAGTATTGTATCTAATTAAACTCTATAAAACATAAGTTTTGTATCCCATTACTCTGTTAACAATACTAAAGTTTTATTTCCCTTCTAAATGGCTATATGCGAGGCTTTTTAGGAAAGTTGAAATGATTCTATACTACTTCATTTTTAAATGAGGAGATTGTCATTAAGTTTGTATCAGATCATGTTAAGAAATCACCCGACTTGTTAAAAATTGGAAGTAAACAAGATAACCTTGACTTTATCAAGTGAGTTAATGGATATGCCTCGATACAGACTGAATAGTTAGACAGAAAGGTAAATACAGGCGAAGGACAGTTAACTTAATTTGCCACAAGAACGAGCGGACATTTAAAACATATATTACCCATAAAGCCTTCAAAATGATTGACACAACGATATATCACAGTTTGAAAATTTAAAACTATCCACCCATGTTG